AAATTCTTCTAATACGGTGAGCCGGTGGAATGATAAGAGCTCTTTTTCAACAGACAGGTATCCAAATTTAGAAGTTTGTCAATGGGCCATTCCATGATGGTTCTCTGTGGATACGTCTCTTCAGAGTTCCATCATCTCTTCTTGTCAATTAGACGTCCAGAAATGGAATCTTTGATTTATTTTCAACTTCCATTGTGAATTTAATTGAAGGCTGACAGTTATTAAACTCTTGTAAGATACAATTTAAATTGGAATCATCTTGACAAACTATAAAAGTGTCCGTATACCTTTTGTAAAATGACAATTTGTCTATTGTCGATTTTAAAATCCCATTTTCCAAACTGACCATAAAGCGGTCTGCCAAAATTAGGCCAATGGGTGAGCCCATGGCAACCCCATCTTTCTGTCTATAAATATCGTCGTTGAAGGTAAATTGGACAATAAAGATGCATCTCAATAAAACTTTTTCAGAAATGAGGTTGGTATTCCGATGCCCAGATTCTTGTCCTTCATATATTTGTACAGGAAAAAGATTGTTTTCTGTGGGTGGCACATTGGTAAATAGAGATTCTGCGTACAGTTATAACACACGTTCACCACTTACATTCAAATCTTTTATGCATTCAATAAATTTAAAAGTGTCTTGGAAAGAGTACTTAATTAGTTGGTGTCATACTGGCTGTAGCATTTCGGAAAACCATTTGGCCATTGGGTGGTATGGTGATCCCGATACATCTGAAATTGGTCATATTGGCCGACCAGCTTTGTGCACCTTTGGTACACTATAGAGTAGTAGAAAAACTGATCCTGCTGGTCTTAGGCGTTGAAAACGTTCTTCAGTTATGAGATAGTCCTGCTTAATTCTACTGAGAACGTCTGCCAGTTGCTGCTCCATCACTGCGGTCTTATTATTCTCGTTGTTTGTCTTGGAGAATTTGCTGTTATCAGAGATCAAGGTTGTCAATTATTATTGATGTATACACCTCTATGCATGGGGACTACTTCCAAATCTTTGCCTGGATATGTAGTGATTAGATCTTTATTGTATCTCAGTTCTTTGTGGTGCTGTTTACACCCCTTTGTAAGGAGGTATCGGACTTCGTTCCGATTTACGTCCTGGCTACTAAGCACTACTAACTGACACGATTTATTTTTAACTACTAATATCACTCAATCAGTAGTACATATATGCAATCAAGCTATTTTGTTTGATATTTTTGATTACCATCTATGAAACTAGTGTCAAGTAGACTGCATAAATTGCAATCTCAATATTCGTAGGATTTCCACAGGAATTATACATTCAGCCATACGTTACCTAGTCCGAATACATGAAGACAAAATTTCTGAGGACCATTAAATAAGATGGAGCTTTTCGTTATTTGATGGACGCTGACTAGCAAGGGGTTCAAGGATGCACATTTCATCCTGTTTGGGACCCCTTAGCTGGATGTGTCTGTATTTACAGTGAGTGAGTGATTTCCTCCCCAATGATACTGTAACCCAGAGGCTTCTGTTTTAAATGCAAAAGAGTTATCCACTTGGAGCTTTTCCACAGAACCTTTCCTCCACTAATTAGTTATCACTATTATTATCATTATCCAGACACACAGAATATCCGGGTTCGACTCCTGACTAGTGCACTCCTAAGCCTCGTTTAATTTTCTAGTCAGTAGTAAGCCAGGAAGAAAGGGAAAGTTGCACGAGAGGCTAGCCAATCTACACCATAAAAACATCGTGGCTACTAGTGATATGTTAAAGCCTGAAGCCCGCACTAGGAATTCAAAGAATTAAAAAAAGTAAGCAATTATTCATCCTTTGCATTCAGTAGCATTTCATTCGGTCTTTGCCCATCACTTTCAATAGATTCCCCAGACTTCAAATGATCTTATCCATGTCCAACTCGTGTCTTCTAATTCGCTTTCTACTCGAAAGACCTTTCTTGTGTGTAGTGTCAACTGCGTATCTCCTTCTTAGTCCTGTCTCCAATCAATCCATTTCTATTTCGCTCTGCATATTTATTGGTTGCACAACAAATTTTCGTTGACTGGTTCGCTTCACTGCCAGTGCTTCTTATTGCATCTCCTTACTGGTCGATTAAATAACTAGCGACAGATAATTAACTGTGACAACCAACCATTTACAGGTTTATCTTATAATAATGAGGTATGCAGAAAATTCACTTGCATACAGCCCGCATTAATTATAATAATCAATAAATTCACAGAATGGTGTAATCCGTGCCCTGTTGTTTTGGTGAATAGTAGAATATTTTAATTATACCTACATTCAAAATAAATATATAGTCAGCTGTTGAGAAAGATGGAGATAATTACATGAATAATATACCGGATTTTTTAAGTACGTGTATCAAACTATCTTCGAAGTGAAGGCAGGGGGAAGACAAGGCTGCTTACTGTCCATAGGTGATTTTTATGGTTGTGGTTGACTGGATCACGGAGGCGACCGTGGGAAGTAAGGAAACAAGCGTACGCTGGGCTGATAAGGCGACCCTAGAAGATCTAGGTTAATTTATGTCTCACGTAGCAAAATCTGAAAGATTTACATGCAGAAAAACACACTTATTTAGGAAGGCAGCGAACAAATGACTTCCGGTGAATATACGTAAGATAGAGATGATGAAGATCCGCGGTCGCCTACAACATACCCTATCGCCAATGAGAGAATTCCAAATAGAGTCACCTCTTTTACTTACGCATCTAGGCAACACATATGAGGATGTTAAAGTCAGTCAGGATCGCATCAGGAAAGCAGAACAGACATTTGTTACTCTAAAATCGGTGTGCAGATCAACAGTACATAGTACGAGGGAAAAGATCCGAGTAATCCTAAGCACTAATATCAGCTTAGTTGGTGTTTCTATATGGTTCAGAAACTTGGTGCATGCATCAGAAAAAGCTGCTGTAGGCTTGCAGCAATACCTGCACCTTTGATACTAAAAATAAGATGGTCAGGCAGAAAGGATAATCAATAAAGCACTTTGGTATCGCTGTGAACCAGCCACAACTACACAGAAGGAAATGGAGATTGACTGAACGTTGGCTGAGGAGAGACATTGAAGTAACATCACAGAGTAGTCAGGCTCTTGAGTAGAACCCGAATAGCAAGAGATAATTTGGCCTCGGATTCAAGTGTATCATGGAGGAGGCCATATGTGGGGGGAGGAAGAGGAAACTATAGCTTGTGGGTAGTCGTGAAGCCAGTTGAATCAAGAGTAACGGAGATATGCTGCTGAGGCCATATTTTCCACTTGGCACACAAGGAAAGAATCATAATAAATGGAAATGAAATGTCCCTCAATACTTATTTGAATTGTGACACGGGTGGCGATGCATCATACATCACTGGTGAGAGCTGGTAATATCAACTCCTACTTAGCTTGTCAAATTTCTCTAGGTCGAACAAAATTTCGAACCGGACACTTACGGACTGGGGGTGTATGCTATCTACTTTGTTTATTTGTCTTTTCACAATACTGCGTTCAATCAACTTGCTGTTCATAAATAAAAAAGTAAAGCAGATTCATTTCAGGCTCATTTGATTCAAAAGACTAAGAAATTAATGGACAAAGAATTTCCTTTTGAATAACTGTCTCTTCGTCAGGTTCCACAGTGATATGCCCATAATAATTAAAACAATAAAATTGACTCAACAACGCCGACAGATTACAGTTCAGAGGCGTCTGTAAGTGATAATATTGCACCAATATAACACTTAACTGTATATTAAACAAATTAGGGAAAAATAATACAGAGATGGTGGATTTATAGATTCTGTAGCAGGCCAGGGTAGAAATAATGGCTGCACCTGTTTCTCTTGCACGAACAACTCCAGTTTTCTTAAGCGAATTGGATTGGCCTCTGATGTTTTGAGTGCTTGGTATCCAAAGGCCGTTGGTAATTGATTTGGTACCCGACAGATGATGTGAAGAGAATTTTCATTACTAGCATCATGGCACACTTGGACAAGGTGACCTAATGCCAAACTATCGACAGTTTTTAGTACACCTTTATTTGGCCACACTAGTCGGTGTTCTCGAGCACAAAAAACCAACTTTCTAGAGCAACGGTCAATATAACTGACTCCAGAAGAGCAGTGGGACTGAAATACAGTTTAAGTGCTTCTTCCATAAGTTGAGGAACCACAACTATTCATGTGGAAAATATGATCTATAGAGTACCAGGATTAAAAATTCCTTGGATGAATTTTTTCAGCTTACTTTTTATATTACTTCACTTGGTATGTTGCTTTTGAACTGCACTCACATGTATACGAACGCTTCGTGTTTGGAGATGCAGAATAGTTCCCTATCGACTTTCTTACTCAAATTCTAGTATCTTAATTTATCTAATCTTCTATTGATGCATATCATCACTTTCGAAATGTAATCTACTGTCATTGTTGATTCAATGCTATTTAGGGAGGGAAATTAATATTTTGATAGAGAAAGAAAGACCAGGTTTGCAGTATAAAATGATATCATTCTATTTTCCAGGTCCTCATCAGCTGCAAACTACCTAAAAGTACAATGGTTATAAATAATGACATTTCATACTTCAATGTTTGAAAGGTAATAAAGAAAACATTATAAGATGAAAGCATCCGAAATATAAGTATTACAATGTAATAATTTCTTTATTAACCTTTCAAATATTGAAGTATGAAATGTCATTATTTATAACCATTGCAATTTCAGGTTGTTTGCAGCTGATGAGAACCTGTGAAATAGAATGATATCATTTTATACTGCAAATCTGATCTTTCTTTCTTTATCGAAATTTATCAAGGGAACCAAATGTATGAAATTAATATTGTTAATAACAATAATTCTCGAATTATAAAACATACGACCTGATGTAGAGGGTTTTATCTAAAAGTAAGGCCTTTTTGCTCACTGATCTCTGAGTCTTTTGAGATTTATTATTATTGGCCATCTTTAATCTACTATTTAGCTTTTGTTTTTTCTTAAAACAAATTACCTTGTAATAAACGTATTTGACATTGATCAACCATATCTTTACAGTACTGAATAGTTTCTTTGATGTTTAACCATTCAGGATATTTGGCTTTATAATTTTCTTTTAATGTTTGAATTTGTTTCAACAGATTATATTCTTCCTCTGTTATGATTGATTGATTTTCAACCGTTTGAATTAATCCTGAATACACAAACAGAGATTCAATAGGCAAACAAATAATGTGACAGTCTTTTCTCCTGTTGTATGGTATAATAATGATGAGTGATATTAGATAGTTACAGCTAAGGAGGATGGATGTGAAGTCAATAGGTCAGGTTATAAACTTGCTGCGATTGAGATGGTTAGGACAAGTGTTGCGTATTTCAAACCACAGCCTTCTTCGACAAGCAAAGTTAGCTGACATAGGATTAAGTTAGAAAAGGGTTAGGTTAGGGGTGGTTAGTTAAAAATCTAGCGTCAATTCATCACATCTTTGACTGTTAATTTGACCCAACCAAGTGGGTGGGAGGGTGTAGACAGTAAGAACTAAAGGATTGACACTGATAATAGTGATATGGTTGAATATCGTTCTCAGTAATGCAGATGCATTCACTCTTTGTAATCTCTCAGATGAATTGAATACTTATTCTTCTCTGCATAATTCTCCCTTCTACCTCTTGTTCGTTTGAGGTTGTTTTCCCCTTCTCCACCTTTATACGTAGTTTCATAAACGGCGGGATCTTGAACTGTTGAACTCTTGTGCAGAGTAATACGTTGAAAACGTATTCTCAGTCAGTCAGTCTATCCGTTTTTTCAAGTGTCAACTTGAGAGAGAAGTCTCACCAGACAGACTAAACTTGAAGCTGGTGCAAGCGTTCTATGTCCTCCCAAACCTAACCCTATATGCTTACTTGCGTGGTTTCATCGAAAGACTTAAACACATTATGTGTTTACTGGCTTCCTGATAGGCATCTTTCATCCCCCAACACTATTCAACTTCGGATTGAACAAGAATTTTTATGATTTCAGAAATTAATAAGCTTATTTTTACTATGGTTTCATTCTGCGGGGTTAAGTTGCTAGCCCCATACCAAATCTTCCCTCTTTTCTGTACATAGTACCGACCAACAAAGTAGGAGAGGTAAGAGTTACTTAGACATGAAAATTATACAAATGACTACTATGTCCCATGAAAATATTCCAGTGGCTCCCTAATTCTAACTTCTGTCATTTCAACACTGCCAGTCAATTTGATCAGTGAGTATTTGCCTTCACATCCGATTTAGTGGATCCTACTAGTCGTGACTTCCCAGAAGAACTACAGGCGACTTCGTGCTGTAGTCACAGTCACTACTGAACACCAGATAAATTTATAAAATCGATTAATGCATACCGGCAAATATGCTCTGTAATACCAGTGGGAATGAACAATTACAGATTAAAAGACGCATGCTGGCATTATGTAACATGTGTGAAATTATCTAATCAGTCTAAATTGTACAAAAGCTACTGGAAATAGGGTAATGTGTTCATATAAAATCATGTATGGGAAATACAGCATTATTAACAAATAATAAAAGTGATTGCTGTGGTTATAAAATAACAATAATAATAAGCTAAAACAATAAAATGAAACAAAATTCTTGGCAAAAGTATCACTCTGGCCACTGTAAGGCAAGTGAGTACAAGTAACGCTTTTGAAGGCAGATATCTGATTTCAAGTGCCGAACAGTCAATGATTCAGCTGTGTACAAATGGCGTATTCAAAGCTTTTTCGTAATAAGTTGGTTAACTCTGCATGTATGACTGTTTCACAGTCATACAGGACTACTTGTTGTCAAGAGTTGACAAGGTACTAGAGTGTTCTGAAATGAGTTTACGGACTCGACGCAGTATAAGGCCGACAAAATAAACTGTCAAATACACATTGCTGTGGCTAGAAGTGATATCCTGTTGTTAATGCATGAATGAAGTTCGCAAGGCGGCTGCCTGAAATACTTTTTTTATTCATACATTTTGGCAAGACGGCTTTCAAAAATTTCTGCTTCAACGTGATATCTAAACTGCAGGTTCATGAAGAGAGTTTTCTCACGAAGAAGTCGCAACCATATTTGGAAGGGGTTTTTCTCTTATCTCGGTGGATAGTCTTTAAACAAATTTTTCGAAACCTTATTTTCTAACTAGTGAAAGCTGATAAACTCTACAATTCAGGTTAGTTATTTTAGTATATTACTGCTATGCAATCACCGTTCCGACCAATTGTAACTAACATATTTTCTTCTAACGAGATTGGACAATAAATTTTTGAAAGATTTAATTATTTTTGTCTTATTACCGTTACAAACTCCCATCAGCACCTGCCCCCTTCACTGCCTTGATGCTGTATATCAGATGGCTATCTAGACAGGATAAGTATCAACGAACTGTTGTGGTGGCGAACCAGCCGCGCCATTTAAAAGATATCCAGAAGGAAAGGGGGGCCGATACATTGGACATACGCTTGAGAGACACTCAAGTAGCATCATAATCCTAGCAGTTTGTCGAATGAAGCCCAAATGGGAAGGGTAGAGCTGAACATAAGTCGTAGGATGACAAAGAAGCGAAGTCATGCCAGGAAGGGAAGAAAGCAACTGGGCAGTCGTGGAGGTGACTGAATGTGTTGAGAGGGGAGAGATGGAATTGTTTGACTGAAGGTCTGTGCCCCAGTCGCAACACACGTCGGTGGCAGACCACACACATGTGCTCCACGTTCGATTTACGGCTACCAATGCACTACTCAACCTTGCTGAGACCGTAGTTAGCCACGCAGAGAGAAAGCTGGGCCTAAGACTAGCAACCCTACCTCACACGGAAACCAGCACATCTACTGAAACTTTTAAGTTCGCGAGGGAGGTTCTTTTATTCCACTCGGAACTCAAAGGAATGAAAATAAACCGTACTTATAAAGGGGTCGAATAACTATCTGAGTCTATAGATTCTCTTCGGTTGGTTAGACATTAATTATTGTTTATTTTATTATTGATTTGGGTTCCTAGTGGAACATAGATCTTCAACAACAAATCTTCACTTTGTTCTATTCTCTGCTGTCCTCTTCAGCTGGATCTACGACTGTTCACAATCTCTCATCTGCTTCTTGCATGATGTTCTCCATGTCATCCTCACACCAACGACCCACTCGTCATTCTCCATTCGAATCTCACTTGACCGACGTTCTGGCGCGCGATGTCATTCGACAATTTCCTCAATGTATGCCCGATATATCTCCATTTTCTCCTACATATGTGGTTGGACGATTTCATAATGAGGTGACATGAGTTGTTGAACAGTAGGCGCTTGGTGGGTTTATTCCTCGCCAGCCAGAGTTCCTTGTTGCTAATTCTTTCAGGCTGGTAATTCGATCCTTAGTATGGAGCTAGTGAAGACATCTGCTGATAAAAGCCTGTAGCATTCTGTTGGAAATGCTTTTCATGATGCACTTATCAAGTTTCTGACCCGTATAGAAGCAGTGACTTACTTCACATTTGTGTTGAAAATCCGAATCTTGTTGTTTATGCTGAGTGAGTGGAGAAGATTTGCGAACCTATTTCAGACTTGTGAAGGTGTATGTTGCCTTTCAGATTCTGACTGGTTGGCTTTGACATTTTCATCCGGTCCTCTGGCTATGCTTGAAACTATGCTTTCTAGAAAAGTTGGTGAAGTGACCTCTTTCAAGTTTCTCCTGTTGATGGTTATTAGTAAAGGTTATTGTTGCTTCCGGAGTTGTTTTGTTATATTTATCACCTCCATCTTCTCTACGTTCACTTGGGGTCCTGTCTTCACTGCCTGCCTCTTCAGTCAGTTTGTTGGTTTTCTGCTATAAGACAATGAGTTTTTGTGTGACAGACATAAATCGTCCTCAAATTCAGACCTTCTAGAGTCTTCTTATCGGTAGTCCAGCGTATTCCTGTCTCCTCGCTCCTCACTCACAGTCTTCCGCATAATCCAGTACACCACTATTAGGAATATCATTGTGAGTGATAATAGGTAGCCAGCTTGTCTTACTGTTGTATCCATTCACTTTTAACGCCCACTGAGTCTTACGTTGTGGATCACCTGATACGCGGTAGTGTCATATAACTGTGGTTGAACGAGGTTGATAAAGACTAGGGCACCAAACGCTGTAGTGTAGAAGCAGTTTACAAATTACTTTTCGGTCAATGCTGTCTGGTGAAGGCCCTTTCGAGGTCGATGAAGTTGAGGTAGAGAGAGGTTTGAATGCCATTCAATGCTTTGTTTTAAATTACCTCTATCTTTTTTCACATGGTTATTCCAACTCCATCGTCATAATAATAATTATTATTATTACAATTTTTTGAATGGTTATTAAACAGTTGGATTATTGATTCATTATTACTAGAAAAATATTTATTTTATCTGAAATGAAATCTGTAATAAGCGATAAGATCTCTCGAGGGGTGGGTGATGGCTGGAAACAGATGAAAAAACTGGATTGTATTTAGGACAGTAACAGTCCTACTAATTTCTCTAACTCTAAAAATGTAGTTTAGAGGAATATTTATACTGGATTAGCGAATTTTTCTTTGCAAGACAGATGAAAAGAGGAACCAACAAATATTTATGCATTTTCAATTTAGATTTCATCAGTAAGTGACGTCATCAGTTAGAGAATCACTGAAAACCCACGGAGCATCGGACAGCTGTTGTTTCATGCTGGTTTGCGATGGTTCAGTCGAGAATCAAACTGGTTGAGTGGTTGGTAGGCACTCTACTGTTGATCTACTGATGTGGTCTCACTACGTACTGATCAAATAAACTGGAATGTTAGAGTGTTAAGTTTGCGGGGATTGGAATGACTTCAGAGTTAGAATTCGTTACTAACTGACTGTTCAAAATTAGTAAGCATTGATCGGTTAGCTTTAGCAACTTCTCTGAAAATGTGTACTTCATTAACTTAAATACTGGATTTTTTCTACCAATCGACTTCAAGATTTCAAACATCTTATTCCGTTTTAATCATTCAGTAGTTTTTTTTGGAGGAAAAGAAAGTATATCTATATCGGGCGAGTGGCGTTTTTTTATTTTCAAAACCAAGGACCCCAGGCATTGCGGTGAATTAGCCAATAACAAGCTATCGCCTAACCAACTACGTTTCGTATCCTGTTTGTCAGTCATCTCATTTCCATCAGTATGGAGGCCGAGAAAGCAATCGACTGTCGGTGATGCAAGCACCAAGTCTCCTTTTAGCTGTTTCTACGGATGTTATCAGGCTGTCATCTCTCCATCAAGCGATCTCCTCTATGTCACCGTCAGCCATGTAGCCAACTCATTCTGTATTCCGGCCTCGCTAGATGACCTGGAGTCTGATTTCATTCAAGGGTTTCGACAGGGTATTTCTAATCCATCTCCAATTCTTTCAGTATGTTTGTTGGAAGCTCAAGCCCTTTGTTGGTAGTCATCTTTGGGCGACTATCTGATGTTGAATGCGGAGCCAGTGTAGGTAGAATTTTGAAAAAAAAATCAACAGTAGCCTGCAGGAAATGCTATTGGTGGCACAAAAGTTTCTGAAACCTATTTATATAGAGAGAATTGACATTAGTGTCGAAAATGTGAATTATAGTGCACTAGATTTCCAGACATATTACAGATTAATAAAGATTTGTCTTGCCTTAGCAGTAAGTATGCAGGATGAAATGGAGGTGAACTGGATATATGTTGAGGAAGCATTCAGGTGGCAAAATATGCCAGGCAGGTTGTCCAGGCAAAAAAAACCGAATGGGAAGCAAAGATTTGAGCATGGGACAAAGAATGACACAGTATAGAGGAAATTTCAGCTTATGGGCAATCATAGAGTCAGCTGAAAGTGATCACAAACGATTGAGCTGGATGGAGGTGTGTCGGTGAAGCCCAATGTTTCATTCAGAACTCAATGAATAAGTGAATGAATGACTGAAAAATAACAATAATAATAAATGTTAATCACCTTGTAATTCTCTTTCTGTCTTCAATTTGTTCACTTGCTCTTGTAATTCAGTCATTTGAGACTTAATGTGATTAATATCTTGAGCAATTTTTAATCCTTCTTCATGTTTTTCTTTTAGTAAGCCTTGACAGAAAAAGACAGAGGAACAGAGGGAGAGAGGAAGAAGTATAAAAAAAATGCTTCTTCGACCCGTTGATCTCCATTACACTATTTTATACTTCATATGTCATGACTTAATAGACACATATAAACCCTGTGTGCCTAGAGTGGGGAGTGAGGTTATTACTTCCTTATAGGTTGCTGACACAAGAAGTACCAATGAGCACAAAGCTTAGCTGCCTAAAATAAACTGACACATCACTTTGAGGTTAGGCGAAGAGTGCTAGGTAAGGAGGGCAAGTCATTCGAAGAGGTTTCGAAGCTACACACGCGTTGGTGGCACAGTGGTTAGGACTCTCCCCGACCGTGCACATGGTCCGGGGTTCGATCCCCTGCCGACGCACACCCGATATCTATGGTCGGCCTGTAAATTTGGGCTACCGATATCCATGCTGAAAATTCCATACTTGTAATCAAAATACGGTGTGGAATCAAGCTGTAATCAAAATAAAATAAATAAATAAAAATACACCCAGGGAGATGGCTATGAAATGTGGTTAAACCAAAACGTGGGATGAATCCATAAAATCTTTGGCAGTCGGTTTGAGCGAGCCACGTAGGGAGGTGTAGACTTGCTGGTTGAGGTCCTCGTGATGGTAAAAACCGGTGGCTGGAGACAATTGGTGGGTGATATAGCTCAAACTCATTGTTCTCAATGGCGCAGATGCATCTCCTCTTTGTGATCCAGCAAATCCAAAAAATCCATGTTACTATTCTTTCCCTCGCAAATTTCTCATTTTTATTCTTTTGAGTCTCTTTTCTCTTATTTTATCGATCTTTGTAGGCTAAATGGAGTGTGGCAACTTGAAATGGTGCACTTCTGTGGAAAGTTCTGTATTGAAACTCAATCTGTCGGCCAGTTTTCACTAGACTACGCGTGATATACGGGATAGAGACCGTTTGATTTGTTGGAAACCTGTGATATGAATAAAAGAAGCTAGGATTACTACTTATTCCTTCCATCCCGAGTGGAAAAATGAGCTTCACTGGAACACCACCATTCCACTGGGATGCCTAAAATTACTCACAGCCTGCTCCATAATTCTCCAAAAGCTTCCATTCCTTCTTCACTTGATCTTCTGTATGTCACCATTGGAAACATGTCCAACTCGTCGTTTCCCTATCAGGTTCAACTCTTGCATCTGCCTGGGGTGGAATGTCACTTGAAGGTTTCCTCAGAATAAACATTCAATCCATCTCCAAATTCTTCTGCATATTTGAATAGGGAGGGGTTCTAAGCTTATTGGCTGTCACAATATGTTGTTGCTTAACCTTCCTTTAATATCACACGACGATACCTGCACTGATGAAAGTCTAAAGTGGTCTGTCTGAAGTGCATTTGGTGCTACAGGACTCCGTAGGTCCCCCTACATTTAACTAAAAGATAGAATCAATCTAACGCACTAACGCCATTACATCTGTTCAGTTTGGTTTTATCATCAAACTGGATAGCTTCTAGTTTACTCAATTTGAACTGCAGTCAGTTAGCAGGTAAATAAAGACTGTGAAAATGATATCCATATCATCTTGTTTAGCCAATCAATTGAATACTATGCAGACAGATTCTTACTGGAATTTAATCGAATAGTTAGTTTTCTACACTAGCCCTCAATAAATACTATCGCTATATCAGCCAGTTCAATAGGAACTAGGCGATATGTCACCTAACAGTTGCAGAGTAAACGGTTTCTACTTTCTGCTTACCCACAGACTGCGGGAACTGGTTACTTCCTGTAGTAATTGAAAGAATATTGCTTTCACGTGACCTCAGGGTTTAGAATACACAAATGTTTGAAGTTGTCAGATAAGCGACAGATAATAAATAGTCTACCAATCAAATAGCAATTCCTGTATGTTAACTATTACCAACAGTTATTCAATATTATAAAAGTTTTTGCATTTCCCCAATGAATGAAAAATAAGGCAATATTGTTTTTACTGACGTTTTGCTATTTAATGTTGCTAATAGTTTTATCAATTACTAGCATGGCGTGTGCGCTACTAACAAGATTTATCAGTAGTATATAAAGAGAGGTTCATCGGTATAAAGAATAACAAATAGCAAGGAGGTAGATTTGACTTCAGAGAAAGTAAAAGAATTCAGCGTTGTGGAGAAACATAGCAGACGTGAAAGGAACACAGAGAAACACAATACGAAGGGAAGACAGAAGTAGCACAACACAGAAGATCTGTGCAAATGACGACTTGCCGATAAGGCGTACATAGTTTCGTTGTATAGCGATGTCGAATTCCAAATAAACATTCCTCTAGCAAGTCTCTTGTCTTCTATCACTACACTAGAATCAGAGAAAGTTGTATTAGAAAGGTGTCCACTGGACACCAGTGAAATAATTAAAACCTTATGATTCTTGGTATTAGATGGTTGCAGGCAATCGGCAGGAAGCCTTGGACCTAGGTTTCGTGCTAGTTGGCACTCGCCAGTCAGCATGGTGTATCTGCAACCTTGAAGGAACTCATGTCCCTTCTGAGATTCGAACCCGCGTCACCCAGTGCTACCAGCAGTCAGAGATGTTACCATTGAGCTATTTGAGCTCGTGACTGACCTCCAGTAGCACTGTAGTTGATACTTTGATTGGACACTAGTAACTAGTGCGATGTGTCTAGTCCTTTCTTTGGTGCTAGTTGCCTCCAACTATCTAATATTATCAAGTCAATTTGCACCGTGATGGCAAGCTACCTAGAATGGTGGCCACATTGCAAACATGACTGATAGAATTCAGTCTGCACCGAAGATGGGACTAGACACATTACACTGGTTACTGACTAGTGTGCAATCAAAAATACCTTAAGATTCTGTCTGAAAACTAATTATTTTGCAATAATGGCCAGTTATACGGCGGATACATATTTACTTAGAATAAGAGATTAGTTATTAGGTGATAGAATAAATAGTATTTGTGTGACAAACGTGCTAGGCTGAATTCAATTACAATTCAATTACTCCACATTCTAAAAATCTATTATGACTAATCTGTTATTCTAAGTAAGTACCCGCCTCATAAATGGTCATTCATGTAACGACAACAAATATTATATTTTACAATTGTAAGAACCTGGAGAGAAGAATTTACTGAAAAGAATATTTTTTTCATTCAGATTAACTTTCAGTTCACGAGATGGGTTTATTTCACACTAATAAATCTTATAATTATTTTACATTTCAAGGAAATTAATATAGACAGACAAATGGTGTAGCTACGGGACCACCAGTTTCCCCAACAGTCAGTGATCTTTTCATGAATACATTTGAAGATACCACCTTTTTAAAAACACATGCACCTTAAATATGGCTACCATAGGCTGATGGTACTTTCATTGTACTAAAACTGGAAAAACTGAACTATCTATCTGCCAGGATTCAGTTTACTTAGAAAACAGAAACAGATTTCGGTGAGCTACCTTTTCGAGATTGCCTATTTAAGAGGAAGGAAAGCAGATGTTTTAGTGTATCTAAATTCAGGAAGAAAACACACTCCAACAAATATTTAGACTTGGGGTCATCATACCTCATCAGCGCAAAGGTATTATTTATTTGAAATCATCTTAGACGAGCACACTCTTTGATAACAGACGAGAAAGAAAAAGAAGAAATATTAAACACTACTGAAATTCTTAAGTGCAATAACTACCCAAGAAACTTCATCACCAAAGTCAACGCCAACATTAAACATGTTCGAAAACGAATTCCGAAGGCATGGGCCTCAACAATTGTCATTCCATATAGTGTGGAGACATCAGACGATATCAAAAGAATACTCAATAAGTTTGACATCAGAGTTTTCTTCAAAATATCAGACACACTGAGAAACAAACTTGTCCATATAAAAGACAATTCCCTAAAGAGTCTCTATCTAATTGTGTCTGTAAAATAAAATACTTGGAATGTGATGCGATATACATTGGACACACATCGACAGAAATAAAATTAAAAGGAATGAACACTGTAGAGCATCTGATCGACCACTGAGAAATCAAGTTGAATTAGAAAAGCTTGAAAAATCATCATCAGTCTACGTGCTGTAGAATCAGGCCACGAAGTTGGTTTTTACAATATTGGAATCATTCAGAAAAATGTCAGAAATCATTAAGCGCTTCATGTCTAATGGAATCCGAATTATCTGATTAGGAATGATGGACTCAATCAGAATTTGACCTGGCTCCAACACACCTGCCCCCTTAACTGATAAAATCAACAGAAATGTGATAAGCAATTTAAGTATGCAGTCACATGCTGTTTTTTATAATTTCATACGCTTATCAAATCCAACAATCCACACATAGTTTTGTTATTTTTACCAATTGGCCAACTTGACAATGCGAAAATGACCCCATGCTGATGAACGATGATTAAGTTGTTATATATAAATTGAGATTTTGTAAATTCTGTTTTAATAATACTTTGATAAAGCTGTTAGTACTGCATAGCAAAACGTCAGTAAAGAGAAAATTATCGTTTTGTTTTTCCACTCATTGAGAAATACAGAAAGACTTTTATAATTGTGAATACCACGTACCTAAAGCCAAAGTTTTTGAAACTATTAAAAGTGAACTTGTTCTGGGCATATATGATTAACAGTTATCCTAATCTGGTGTAGGACGCCTGATTTACCCTCTGCGGTGGGTGTATGTGATATAACACTAAGTGATAAAGCACTGTGTATTCACTGACGACATTTGGAGAACAACTTACTGCTGTTCATAGTCATACTGCAGAGCTCACTAACATAACTTTGGGATTTCATTTAGAATACAGTTTCAAGAGTTTTATTTTTTCGATTTGACTGGTAGCAATATTCTCCATAACCTCTGGGTTTGGCGTTATGTCATTGCTGTTGCGCGTTTTTGTGTGTGTGTGTAGATTCGACTGAAAAGGATTCTGTGATCAACCTCTATGGCAGATGGGGATCAGTTGATTTATCAGAACACAGGAATTTACATCAGTGTAGAATGAGAAGAAAATACTCAGAAATTACGAAGCATCCACTGATATACATCCACGCAACAGAGTGGGAAGTACAGAGAGGCCGATCACTGAATCTTTGTTTATCGAATGTACACACTAAACACTTACCATAACAACTTTAGAGATATTTTGCTTATTAATTCAGTGGGCGTACTTCATATGCCACTGTTGTTTTATATCATAGTATTGTCTCCAATTTAGACAAGGGTGCCAGATATGTTCGGTGTGTCTTCCTAGATTACACATCTGCCTTTTACTCTTTAACTAGCCCTCTTTTGTTAAACAAGGCTGAGACATAAGCAAGGTGCTGGATGAATAAGTGGTTGCATCATTACTTTTCGAATAGGAAGCAGTACACTGTTTACAATGGCTAATCCACGGCAATAGTTACACTAGCCGGTGTTCCCCACTCAAGATGTTGTTCCTTCTCCTTTTCTGTTTTTTCTTTCTCCTTACATGACTTCCCGCATTCTGAAGAAGAAAATTTTTAAAGTATCCTGGTGATATGACTGTTTCCACACCGGCAGTTGCTTCTCAATTAGACTATTGCAAAGAGAATAGCGTTTTGATCTGAAATTAGTCAATGATCCTTCATCTCAAATGGTCTTAGGCTAACTCCCTCTAAATGTCAAAGAGATTTTTAATTTCACTTTCAGACACAAGTACGACTTACGTGAACTGGTTAGCCTGTATGGTCCCAATATCATAGATGACACTGAAGTTGAAACTAAATCAAATGTTCAATACCTTGAACTGTGCATTTCCGCTGATCTTTCCTGGTCTTCCCACATCACACTAGTGCCTAGAAAAATATTTTGTCTGATTTTCTACATAAGGAAATTAGTAAAATCTGGTATCATCCAGTCAGTCTCTACTTTCCAAGTTTGTTAATGCTTGTAGTATTCTATCCATTCTTCTTTATTCCCCCACCCCACTTTAGTCTTCCTTGGACTACTTAAGAAAAATTTTGTTACACTAAGGAGGGCACTAAAATCTGTCATCAGGGCGAGTGGGATGTTATCGCTAAACTAACATATTAATGCCCTCGTAGATAGTGGACATATGGACTCATGCAGGAAATTAACGAATATTATATTGTCGGACAGACTCTGAGTATCCTTTCCTCACAAAACTCTCTCCTTGTTGTATCTCATCAGACAGGACTAAAAGCAACCATAGAAGACTTTATGCTCGAATGATTGAGTATAAAAACTGTACAATACCTTATTTGACCGGGACACATTTTATCTGATGCGAAAAGTGTAAGGTAAGACACTATCAATTAACTGAGGAACTCTAAGTAAACGGCCTCATTTCTATCCTTCCTTTCATTAAAATATATCGTTGCTAATACTTCCACTTACATTTTAATCTAGTATTCATATTCTAATTGAACACTGTTATCAGTGTAAACGCTCATGTTTTAATTATTGCCCCCTGTAATGAGAAAGTTAAATGCAATACTCTACTACATGCTGAAGATTCCATATTTGTACCAAAACACTGTTTGAAGTGAAGCTATTATTACTATTACTTGATTTAATTTAATTGTGTTCCGAGTGGAACACGCGGGAGTTTCAAGCTTGAGTTGTGAAGTTTCAGTAGCAGCTGGCACTACGCCAGACATCCTCTCTGTACACCAAGATTAATAAAGTTTAAAGTTTAGGAATGCGTCGGTGGCCCAGAACACGCTAGCTGTTGGCGACCATCCCACCATTGAACTACCAACGCACTACCACTATGTAAAGAAGTAAAGTTTTTCAAGGAAATTTTTTCACAAACCACTTACTTTTATTTCCTTGATAAATATTGAACAACTCAGAGCCAGGTTCACGTTTAAACTCTTCAAACGCATCATACTTATTCGGTGGACTGAAAAATGGGCAAATTCCAAATAGGAGAAGAGAATTGATAACTTTTATATACATGGCTAGATAAATTAAGTAAACCAGTATGTCAAACAGGATTATTATAAAGCCAAACGCTCTACTATCTAATAAATATGAGACAACAGGTTATTTTTCACCTCCATCCTTTCAGGTATAAACAGTCTACTTACGAGTTCACAATAATTAACTACCTAGATTGTGTAAAAACCTGCATGAATTTATCCTCGTTATCATTATCCTGAAAACTTTGATTGTTTATCATCCACCAATTGATATATCTGAACTTTAATTCTATCAGGCTGCATTGCTTAGAAAAAGTACTATGTGCTTAGTAATGAAACTGTAAAAGCTGCTGAAAAATAAATGTGGGTATACATCTGCCTAATAATTATTTCAAAAAGTTACATTGTAAGGATTCGATTGGTTACATGCTTCATCACGCATTCATATAAATTAGAGAACCACTGAAATAAAAGGGTGTAAATGACAGTTGTTTCGTCCTAGTCTGGGGCTCTTCATCTAGAGCACCACTGGGATTGGAACCCAGGTGATGGGCAAACTCGCTAACCATTCAGAAACTGAGATCATGAATTCTAACCTCCATCGCCTCACTACCAGCCAATGTCATCGGAGAGTATTTGTCCTCTCAACCGACCTGGTAGACCTCATTGGTCACAACTTTTCACTAGAATTTCAAGCAACTTTGTCCTGCAGCCGATCAGCAGTGACCATTGGCAGAATTCATCGGCTATCGGATTCCTTCCCGGTGGCTGGATGCTTAAAGAGCGCCTCTTGTAACCTGGAGGTCACGGGTTCAGTCCGTGGTGTCAACATGGGTTCGTACTGCTAAAGCGTCAAAAAGAAGCAGAACAAAATAGCGATCCAGTACCTGAGTGCTGGTTTATAATAGTTTTTCAACGAATATCAATCCCTGATCATACTTAAAACTATTCAAATCCATACAGGTTAATAACTGAAATAAATTAGGATCTATCATAATGCGATGTAGAATTGTATCGAAGCTACTATCATTATTGAACAATTGGAATCAAATAAAACTGAGTTAGTCACATACTACTGATTAATTGACATGAGTAGTTGGATACTACCGCTCACAAATCAACTAGTAGTACTTGCTAGTCAGATCACCGAAGTAATCTAAACAACTGGACGCTATTTCTCTCGTTTGCAGTTAGGTTTATCAGCGGTGTGTCTGGTTCGACTCAACTGAGAGAGCGCAATCAGTTCAAATCACCTGAATTTCGACTGTCTACATGGGTGAACTGTTACTACACTGAATCAAATCCGCAATTTGAAAGTTGATTTTGCTATGTGCTATATGCACAGTTCAAGGGGAAATTTTACAGCCATTTACACCATCAAGGAGATCACATGTGGAATGATATGAACAATTTCGGTTTCCAGATCTGTGAAAATGAAAATCGCAAAGCAATTTGTAAATTGCACGTTTGATGCAGTGTGTCACCAGTTCACCCAAGTATTCTTTTGGTTTAACAGATTCTTCTCCCTTAGTTGTATCATGATGTCACCAAAGGCAACGAAGGCCCTCATGCAATGGGAGGCGATCTCGCCCGGGATAATAACCGCCAGATTCAACTCCAAAGGAAGGAAAGTGTCAGTTATACAATGGTATACACCGACAAACAACGCAGACCTCGAAAAGAAAGAAGAATTCTACAGACAACTACAGGCAACAATGGACAGTACTCCAGTCGGCGACATTAAAATACTAATGGGAGACATGAACGCAAAACTTGGATCAGACAACACAGGAAGGGAACTCATCATGGGTGGAGAAGCTCTCGGAGAAATGAATGAAAACGGAGAACTCTTCGCCGACTTATGCGCCTTCAATGAACTAGTGATTGATGGCAGCGTATACAAACACAAGGATATCCACAAGGCTACATGGGTGTCACCAGATGGGCGAGCCGAAAACCAAATTGACTTCATCTCAATAGTGCTCAAGGAAGTGGAGACGCAGCCTACTGGACACGAAAGTAAGAAGAGTATCAGACTCCATAATGGATAAGATTTTATTTTGATAAATCACACAGTGTAGTACAGTTATATTAACTGTTACATATTATATTATATATATTAACAGTTAATATAACTGCACTACACTGTGCGATTTATCAAAATAAAATCTTATCCATTATGGAATTATACTCTACCACAGTGCCCAAGTTTTATACTTATATCAAGAGTAGCAGACGTTGGCTCAGACCACTACCTCGTACAAGGGACAATCCAAATCAAATTAAAAGCTTTCAGAGAAACAGGAGCTGCAGATAGACCACAAGCCGAGTTCAACACTCAAAAACTGAAGGACCAGGACACAAAGGACATCTTCACTGCAAGCATAAAGGACAAAGCCGAGACACAAATCAACACTAGCGAAGAGGTCAACGTCGAAAAGCACTGGAACAACTTGAAAACAGTGTGGAGTCAAACCTGCATGGAAGTTCTAGGCAGAAAGAAGAGACAGCACAAACAGTGGCTCACTACGGACACTTGGAGACTGATAGAAGAGAGAGGGATGGTGAAACAAAAGATTATCCAGTGCACCGATGAGCAACAGAAACAGGAGTTGAATGCAAGCTACAATACACTGAACAAAGGAGTAAAGAAGAGTGCCAGAGAAGACAAAAGAAAGTATTATGAAGCCATGGCCAATGAAGCAAAACAAGCAGCAGGCAAAGGAGATCTCGCAACACTCTACCAAACAACTAGGTACCTATGGGGCAAACGTTTGACACAAATTAAACCTGTGAAGGATGACAATGGAAAGTCACTCACCAAAGAAGTGGAGCAAAGGAAACACTGGGCTGAACACTTCAAAAGACTCCTAAATCGACCACCACCTACAACGCGCCCAACAATACCAACGACGGAGACAGAGCTACCAGTGAACACCAACCTCCCGACGAAATCAGAAGTCCTGAAGGCAATCAAGATGCTAAAAGCTGGAAAAGCAGCAGGTTCAGATGGAATCACAGCAGAAGCATTGAAAATGGACCCAGAGACAACAGCGGACTTGATAACGCCACTACTGGAGGAGGTGTGGAAAGAGGGCAAAGTATCCGAGGACTGGAAGAAAGGATACTTATTCAAACTACCAAAGAAAGGAGACTTAAGTCAATGCAAGAACTGGCGCGGAATCATGCTCCTGTCCATCCCAAGCAAAATACTAAGCCGCATCATCCTGGAGAGAATCAAACAAGCCCTAGATGAAGAACTTCGACTGGAACAGGCTGGATTCAGGAGAAACAAGTCATGTATTGATCAGATCGCCACATTACGGATCATCACTGAACAAAGTTTGGAATGGCAGTCACCTCTCTATCTCAACTTCATCGACTTTGAAAAGGCCTTCGATAGTGCAGCGTCGATCGAGAGGTGCTTTGGCAACTACTTCGCTACTATGGGGTGCCACCGACAATTATAGATCTGATCCAACAGCTGTAAGACAATGCTGCATGCCAAGTAATCCACAACGGGAAACTCACAGAATTCCTCAGAGTGAAGATGGGCGTGAGACAAGTTGGTTGCCTATTATCTCCAATGATTTTCCTGATTGCGGTAGACTGAATAATGCGACAGACAGCTAGCAATGAGGAAACAGGCATAAAATGGACTCACACAAAAAACTTGGAGGATGTGGACTTCGCCGATGATATATGTCTGATTTCCCACAAACTGGAAGATATGCAAGCGGAAAGCAACAAGTTAGCAGAAGAAGCATCAAAGATAGGACTTCAGGTGAACATAGATAAAACAGAGGTGATGAAAATTCCTGGGCAACACCATCAACAGCAACAACAACTGACAACAATCAGCATAAGTGGGAGGGACCTGAAAGAAACAACCTCCTTTACCTACCAACCTGGGAAGCATCGTTTCAACTACAGGCGGACGGAACTGACGAGGATATCAAAGCAAGGATCGGAAAAGCAAGACAAGCTTTCACTACTCTCAAGTCTGTGTGGAGGTCAACAACACTCAGCATCAAAATTAAGATACGGATTTTCAACTCCAATGTGAAGTCAGTACTACTATATGGATGGATCAGAGACTTGCACTGCGCGTCATAAAGAGCATCTCAAACAAACTACAGACCTTCGTCAACAGCTAGTTGTCTTCGCTCAATACTCAAGATCAGATGGCCAGCCAGAAAAGACCAGCAACAGGGATCTCTGGCAATGAGCGAACCAACACAGCAGGAACCGATTGTGCAGCAAATAGGCAGGAAGAAATGGAGATGGATTAGCAGGCCATACTCTGAGGAAACCATCAAATGAGTGACATCACTAGACAAGCCATTGCTCGAGTGGAACCCGAAAGGGAAGCGGCGAGTTGGTCGTCAGTGCGAGGGTGGGTGACTTGGAGGAGGTCATGTGAAGAGGAGATGAAAACGTGTGGGCAGACTTGGAGCCAGGTGAAGACTCTAGCAGACAACCGAACGCAATGGAAATGCACAGCTGAAGCCCTATGTTCCTCTACGAATTAAAGGAAACAATAATAATAATAAAAATCTCTCTTTGTTGAGTCGAACCAAGCACACCAATGATGAGCAAAATGGCCGTATGGTATTTAGATCGCTTCTATTTGGCTGACTAGCTAGTACTACCGGCTGATATGTCAGAGGTGTATCCAGCTTCTTTTACCGATCAGTCACTAGCATATAATGTAATGCAGTTATGCCTGGAATGATTTACCCGGATAAACTGGGAACTTCTGTATCCATCGGTTCGTTGATTGTAGTATTAGTAATACTGCCAAGTTTAATATTTGAAACAGATTGTTTCTTTTCCTTGCGTTTAGCCTAAAAAGTATATAGAAAGGTAGAAGTCCAGAAAAGTTCATCATGAAACAAATGGCCAAGAAATTTCTGTACAAGTAAACAAGAAGCCTCTATATACGACAGCGCAATTCAAGCGTGACACACCGACTGAAATAATAACCAACAATTTAAGAAAATAGATTCAAAGAACTTTTAGTGCTAGTAAACTGCATGTCACACTTTACACAAGACTGGTCATGATTTCTAAACTGAAAAGTAAATTACCTAGGCAAACTACCTTTACTTGTATCTGTCATTTCAACTAATCTTGTGCAATCAGTTCTATATTGGCCATTGCCCACCAGGAAGTTAATTTTTCCTCCTCAGGGAAACCTACCAGTAGAAAGCTAAATAAAGGTGCAGTAAACACCATCAACTGCTCGATAATAAACCACCTGCCCCAAAACACGCCATAAAGCCAACACATTGAAGAATCTTCTCCTGTCATCTGTCGAGCAGCGAACAGATTGCTGAAAGCCTCTAGTCACTGAACTCCTCATACAGCAGAGATCACACTGCAACTCATTTAAAACAACTGTAGGTGTGTGTCCAAAAGAAACAGATCCAGTCACTATTTCTACCCTGCCCTGGTATGGAATCTAATAATTCATAAATATTGCATTACGTCGCACAATTCTAGGTATGACTTTACATCCTGTATATGTCAATTCCCCTACCTCTTATTATTGGACTTGTGTAAACAAACCATTTATTTTCTTATTTAAATTTGGTAATTAACTTACAAACTGACACACATACATAACTTTCTACCCTATTTTCATTGCGTTTTTGGTATTATTATCAATTCATCCATATGACATTGACAATCAGTCTGAATAAAAAAAATCAGTGTGAACATTGGTCATGTGCATTCATTCGTTGTTTTCTTCATGATCACTCATCACACCCATATACGCATTTTTTGAACCATAATCTATGAGTGACAGAAGCGAAGATGGGACTTCAAGTGAATGTGGAGAAGACGAAGATGACGATGAAACCTGACCAATACCAGTGAATCTCAATCATTATCAGTGGGATAAATCTGAAAGCAGTGATCTCAATCATTTACCTATGTAGCAGCGTCGCAACTATAGGTGGCGTGGATGCCGATGTTAAAGTCAGGATGGTATAGCAAGACAGATTTGAAATCACTGTGGAAGTCTACGACACACAACATAAGGAACAAGATCCAAATTTTCAACATACTAATAGCAGGCCATTGAGTTCTTCTGTATGATTCGCAGACTATGTGTGACATCGAAACCATTTTCAGAAGACCACCGCATACTTTCACCGATAGCTGTCTTTACCGCCTGGATATTATTGACCAGATGGTCAGCCACAAAGGATGCACAATAAAGGACTCTTTCTGGCGGCAAACTAGCCAATAACTTGTTGAGAGTGAATAAAAGTATGCTCCAAGAAATGGAGGTGGATGGACTGAATATGCGCTGAAGAAACCAGCAAATGCCATCACACGGTAGAAGAACCGTTGAATGGGAAAAGCTAAAGCGGGTACAAGTGTGACTTCGAAAAAATCATGTGATCACTTTTATTAGTATTTATTCTACTAAATGTGCGTGGGACGTTTACCTGTAAAAATGCTCCATCTGTCATTAATGTAAGATTCGATGTAGCCTTATCCCCAGTGGAGGATTGATCGATTGGCGGTAGAAAACCTCTTCCCGAGGCAGGATCTAATTCACCAACTTGATTAACCACCGAAGATTTCTCTTTAAAATTAACATTCTGTGCAGATTTCCCAGTGATTGGTTCATTATTCAACGTGATATTTGTCTGTCGTTTCGATCCGCTAATATTCGAATTACTACTGGGTAGTTTTGAAGCTGGACCAGTTCCACTGCCACCACCACCTCCGGTGCCACCACTACGAGAACCGCTGGAAATTGTTGAAACGGCTACCGTTGTAGGTGACCGACTGCCAGTATAGTCGCTTTGTCTGCTTAGCTGTTCTTTAGCTTCATCCAGTTGAGTCTGAAGCGATCTGATTGAAGGAAACATTTTCAGAAAAAGACGTATAAGTAAATATTATGAAGAAATTGAGATGTATGGACGTAGTTGACAACACATATACAGCTCATTGCCTCTGAGCTAATGAGCTTTAGGCCTGAATCCTGCTCCACTTACTTCAGCCCTGACATACTGGTAGTATCACGAGTCCTCAGACAATAAGCGTGCCTCACAAGAGCCGCCTAGTATATTTAAGACATTTGTTCTGGGGAACAGATTGTGGCTGTTATCAGTGGGTTCATGAATGAACGCAAGTATCCATATGCAGTTACATTCAGCTGAACAGTCGTAAATTTGGCGGAATGAGTATCCTGGAATTTATTGCTGGCAACCACCATAAACCAAAACAACAAATCTGAATATCTTATGAACACGTAAGTAACTTACTTTCCATTCCTTTTTATTTCGGTTTGTCTTTAAAAATGAAAGGTGATAGCCTGAATAGGGCAACGTAGTTTGGCAGTATACTGTTTAAGCATTCATCCATATGTCACTCACTTCAGTGACTGAGAAACTACAATTATATGTTGCCGATAGATTTTCTTGATAAAGCTGGGTCAGTAAATTGTTTTATTCACCAACCTAAAGATTCTGTTGGGTGGAATTTTTAAATATTTATCAGTCTTACATTCATTTATAAATATTTTTATCAAAACTTTAGGTTAGGAAACGATTCTTAATTACATTCAGTATGCACTTCACCAGAGAATTGACAGTAGTTAGAGGAAAAAACACTGAAATTTAAGTATTAATAAAAGCAACTGGTTGAACTGTCGTTCAGCCAGAGTCATCAGCTATGGGTCATACATGCTCATTATCTCTGATAGTAATGTGAGCATAAACTGTGCAGAAAAGAATCCCAGGCTAGAAAGAATCCATCGGCCAGTGCATTTTTTTGCAATGCTTCTGTTATTGAAGTTTAATCGTGACGAAATCTACACTGAAATATTTCCATATTTTTTAAGTATATACTTTTACAATTCTTGGTTTACTTGGATTTGATGAACTTCGAGTAAAGTCATCAGTTAGGGAACTGTTGAAAATCAGTGAATATTGGACAGTTGTGTCGTCCTAGTTTAGAACTCATGAACACTTCACTTCCATAAACCACCCCATTCCTCTCCCCAGCTGTGGAATCTCATGTTTTAACACGAACGATGTCCTTAATTGTCTTCAATCTCTCAAACCTACCCAGTCCCTTGGTCCTGATGGAGTTCCTGCTGTTATCCTTAAGAAGTGTGCTGACATCTTATGTTACCCATTAACCGACATTTTCAATGAATCCTTTTCCCAAAGTATTATTCCGGACTCATGGAAAAATATCAAGGTTGTTCCAGTACCTAAATCAACAAGTGGACCTACTGTTAAGTTTCGACCGATTGCTATTACCTCACCTTTTTTAAAAGTTATGGAAAGAATTATTTCACTTAATCTTGAACCCTCTTTAAAGCCTTTTAATGACCCCAACCAGTTTGCCTATAAACATAGTAGGAGTACCTTAGATGCCGCTGTAGTTCTATATCATAATATAGTCTCTAGTTTAGATAGAGGAGCCAAATATGTTCGGTGTGCCTTCCTTGATTACACATCTGTATTTGACTCTGTACCTAGGTCTCTCTTGTTAAGTAAGCTTGCTGCAACACAGAGTGAGAGCTGGATAAAAAGTGGTTGTATTCCTACTTTTCTGATAGGAAGCCGTACACTGTCTACAATGGAAAGTCCTCCACTACCTCACTTACTTTAGCTGGTGTTCCTCAAGGTGCTGTTCTTTCTCCTTTTCTGTTTTCTTTTTTCTTACATGACTTACCTCATTCTGATGTAGCAAATTTTGTCAAGTATGCTGATGACCTCTCTGTCTCCATGCCTGTCAACTCTCAGTCAAACTGTTCCATATTAAATAACTTTCTCTCAGAAATCAGTCAGTGGTCCTCTTCAAACGGTCTTAAGCTGAATCCGTCTAAATGTCAGGTAGTAATTTTCACTTTCAGACAAAAACGTGACCTACAACAACTAGCTAGCTCACATGGTCCCACTATCATTGATGGCATAGAGGTTGAAACTACATCTAATGTCAAGTACCTTGGACTGAGTATTTCCTCCGATCTTTCCTGGTCCTCTCCCTTCTTGCTAGTGACTAGAAAGATGTTTCGCTTAACGTTCTACGTTAGGAAGTTAAGGCAGTCTGGTATAAAGCAGTCTTTGCTTTCTCAGTTTGTCAACTCTTGTATTCTAACGATCCCTCTTTACTGCTCCCCATTAATCTTCCCTGGACTACTTAAGAAAGACTTTGCTTCGCTGCGTAGGGCACTAAAAGCTGTTAGTAGGGGAAGTGGGATATCGTTAAACCAACTGGTTAACACTATTGTGGATAGACATATAATGTCATGTAAGAAACTAGCGAATTCTATATTGTCAGACCCCCAACACCCTCTCTATACGCAGTTCTCTCCTTGCATTTCATCTGGTAGAACTAGAAGCAACTATAGGAGGCTATATGCCAGGACTACCAAGTATAAAACTCCACAATACCTTATCTGGCACAACTGTTATGTGATGAGAAAACTGTTAGGCATGACACGATCACCTTACTGTGGCACTCTAACAAATAGTTCCCATTAGCTTTTGTTCTCCTTTCTTTGTTACTATTATATTGTTGCTCATATATTCTATTACACACTAATTTTATACTTCATATCCTGTGGTACATTGTTTAAATATGTGAATGCAATGCTGTTCTTTTTTTTATTTCTTTTATTTCTCTTTTTTCTTTTGTTGTTGTTGCTTTTTATTTTTAAAATCTTATAAAATTTATGAGGTAATTAGATGCAATATTGTAATGAACGCTGAAAATTCCATACCTGTACCACAAATACTGTTTGGAATAAAGCCATTATTATTATTATTATTAAATTCCGCTTATGAAACAAGACATTCTACTGTAAGAACAGAACTAGAATCGCGATATATAGGTATATATGTTTCGGACACTAACTAGTGTCATGAGCGTAGTCCTTTGTTTGGTGTAGATTGAATTCTGTCTTCAGTGAAGTTTGCAGTGTGGCCAGCATTCTAGGTGGCTCACCATCACGGTGTACTCTGAAGGCAATCAGCAAGAAGCCTTGCATCCGGGTATCATGCTAGTTGGCACTCGTCAGCAAGGAGTATCTGAAACCTTGGAGGAGCCCATGTCCCTTCTGAGATTCTTAAATGTTTCATCCAGTGATGCAGCCACAGACGTTACCACTAGCTATTCGGCCTCGTGATTGACCTCCTTTATGAATGCATCGAATACAGAGATTGGACACTAGTTAGTATCGCGCTTCTAGTCCTTTGTTTTTGCTGCAGATAAGACGCATCATATATATACATATATATCAGTATAGAGCTAAAACAGTGAGCATATTCGTATGATAAAGAAGGTCTCATTTTCTTTTAGAAATTTTTATTTCACGGCTTCCCATCTGCTGCTAGCATAGCCTGAAAAATGACAGAAGTTATTGTAAATGCAGAAATGCATATAACATACCCCAAAAGATAACTCAACTCAAATAGGACACAGTTTTCGAGCAAGAGAGCATAACTGAAGACTGAAGATTCACTAGATAACTGTTTCGTCCCACTTTGACACTCTTCAGTAGACATCCCACCATCAGGGATTGAACGTAGTTTCACAGTTATGCATATTACTTTTTTTCCTTATTCATAGTTAGATTATTTGTTTTTATCAAGTCGACGGGCAACACATTATGAACATTTGATGAGTGTAATAGAATTATCATACTGTTATAATTCCCATAGGTTCCAAGTGGAACACAGAAGTTCAGCTGAAGATGACATGGAGGGTGTAGGAAATGAAAGGTTGTACGGCAGTCATGAAGCCGACTGAACGAGTGATTTCAATGAGGACAGGGGGGGGGATGAATGATAAGTTCCGACTAAAGCTTTGTGTTCTGCTCTGAACTCAAGGAATAATAATTGTTTACATCAGAAAACACTTGTAGTCATTCGAAAAGAACAAGGTGACTTTAACTTACTTATTTATTTGTTTAAATACTTCAAATGTTTCCCTCAATTGATAAAGATTTACGATCTAGATTTTAAAAACACAAAAAGATATGTTAAAACGTAAATTTCACACATAATCTTTTAGATAAGGTGTTCAGCACAAATGCTTTTAAACTTGATGACTGGAAGAAAGGCTCACCGTGAAAGATATTCATCTTTTATCCCCAGGGTTATCAACCTAAATTATTTGAATTTTTCATGAATGAAGGAGACAAAAACAAAAAGTACGTCCAACCTTAAATTTAGAAAGATTGGAGAATTTGATCGAGGCACAAAAGAGCTAAAAAAAGTGGAAACAATTTTCTAATTTTAATTTTCCCTCAGATAAAATAAAAACCGAAAAAAACTAAAAAATTAATGATGTATTCTACACCCGTAGTTTTAGGGTTGCAAAGTTTACTTGTAAACAAGGGAGGTGAAACAGAGCCTTTACACTGTTTATTTTTCTCATAATTTCATTTGGGCGATATCTAAAAACAGTAACCAGATAATTACTGCCGCAATTGACCGGAGGGATAATATAAGCGACACTTTTATATTATGTGCGTATGAGGTTACCGGAACAGTTGTCGTAAATCACTACCTGTATGAAATCACGACAATGGATAACTGATGCGTTTCGAGTGGCATACAGTGCTGTAAGTAATTGGGTTCCTAGCCTTAAACCCAACCTTCCGCCTTTTCTGAACTTTTTAAGCGTAACTGAGTCAGGTGAAATTTAAGAGTATGTTGGCCAGAAATCGAACCTGGACCTCGGTAACGGCTGGTGAATAGTCTACCATTGGACTCTGGACAAACTGTTGTTCGTGACTTCTCGGAGGTAAGCACCCATGAATCCCACCGGGAATCAAACCCTGACCACTCTGTTGGTCATTCAGCCAGTAAGATGGAATGTGGCCATTTTTTGGTGTGGTTGTGTTCTCTGAGCTGGATAGTTAATTTGCGAAGCTTTCATCGCCCTGCTAGGCGACATCTTCAGCGCATACTTCAATTTGAAGTGAGCTTTTAGATTTCTCCACGAGTTTATTAATCATCTCTCCCGGTGACCTTGGGCTTGATCGGTTGTTTTAGTGTTTCTTACACACCTTCTAGGTTACTTGTATTGGAACTGATTGTTCCAGTTCAGGTACCCCCTCAAAGGAAAGCCAAATGAAAAGTCACAAAATGGGTGTTAGTCCAACAGTGATCCGGAGAAAATCATATTGTGAGGTAGAAATAAAAGCTTGTAGACAGACTTGAAGTTGACTGAGATTTATATTAGAAAGCCAAGTAGAAAATGCAGGCCTATTGTGGGAAGCCACATGTTGCACTCAGAGCACAATGAATAAACAATAAGCAAGCTCAACTTACTTTGACCTTTACGAGACTAGTAGATATCTTACCTCTAAATCTTTGACTTCATTGTTTAAATATTTGACAACAGAATTGCGTAATTTATGTTTTTGTTTTTCTGTCAATGGTTCATAATTTATTTGTCCACGATTATTCTAAATTAGAAAGGAATGTTATTAAAATCAGTAAAGTTTGTTAAAACAACTCTACATGTCATGATTAGACTTTCTCTGGACAACGTACTATTATCGTCCTAGTTATGCTAATCAGGCCCGTTTAGGAGAAAACAAAACCAGATGTTTATTGTAAATCGTCGTCTAATGGATAAGGCTTTGACGTTTGATGCAATAGATACTCGTTTCAAGTTTAATATGGAAGCAACATCACTGACTCACTGCGAGGGGGGATACAGGTGCATGCAGTTGACTAGTCTCGAATAGAACCAGATGTGAATCATGAATCCCACTGTTATTAGCCCCCATAAACGAAATAACATTACCGTAACATTCATGCAAAATACAATGACAGACACACTACATAGTTTTTTGACACTCATGCATTTCTCAACAATATTTACACAATTGAAAAACTCACATTTTTCATCATATTGGCAACACTTAGACATGCACATGTGCTGATGAGAAAATTAGACATGAAGGAAATTTAAACTTACACTATTCGTTTTCGAAATAAACACTAAGGACAAACGTTTTCAAAATAAATATGCGACACTGAATAGAAAATGAAAGGATGACTGTGTGAATGAGATGTGGAAACAAAGACGTTATAAAAGAGCTTTAGACAACTGTTTCATCCTACTTTCGGAATAATCAAAAATCCCTATGGCCTGTTATATCTGCGCCTGTTAATTATTTTACCGGTAATGCACTCGACTGGTACCCTAATATGCCTATTTGCCCGTTGTACCATCCGATTCACTGAGCCATACAAACATCAAAAGATAAAGGCTGGCCATCGACTGTAAGATACTGTATTGCTTAGGAAACAACACATGATATTTATACATTTTCTGAACCATAATAAAGTCGGCTCACAGCCGTGAGAATGGACTAGTCTTGTTGGCTAGAGATATCTATCCTGATGGGTTGTTGATCCGACAAAGACCAAGAAGAGACATAGGATGATGAACTGATCACACACTAGATCACAATATGCATGAGGTATGATCAATCTACTTAGTAACTACATTACACGTTTCGTGAGAAGGGATGATATATTATTTTATGCTGGATTTTAACAACTCGTTCAACTAAATGCGGTACATCAGAGAATAAAGATTACTGAGATTTAATGACATCTTAACTAAAGCTGTAATAAGGTTCACCTACATGATACTTATTATCGGCACTAATCAGGAACCCATGTATTTTGGTTCGTTTGATGCTAATCTTTCTGCAGGATACAGGTGCTATTCTCCATATTGTTCAGAGTAAGAAGACTGACTTGTAGTTAGTGAGAAACTTTGGCTTGCTGTGTAGTGTGTTTTATACTTTGGTGATAGTTATGATTGTTATGAGGTGAGCGGAAGTGGGTTTTAGTGGTCAGTGTGTCTAAGTTGCCAGTCAGAAAGGATGCTGATTGGAATCTCACCTCCATAACGCACTTTTAACTTACACAGAAAAAGGCTAACGCCACAGCGAAAACAGCAACAAAAATTCCCTGTTATACACACTACTTGTGCATTCTAGTCATCACAAACAACACATTGCGACCGATCACATGTCGTCGACAATCACGAACACCACAATCCAACCTTCAACATGCACTCAGTTACTGTCTATTTGTCCCCTAGTGTCTCTATAGGATCCACCGAGTGATAGTTTCTTCCACAAAGTAGTGGTCAGGCTATGTAGAGCAACAACTTCAAAAGCACGTCACACAGATTGTGTGTTATTGGTCTGAAACAGTTTTCCCCTGAGCTCTGCGGTTACGCAACACTCGTGCATTCCCTAACTTAGTTATTTCAAGAAGAAATCAGTTAGTATCTTTCTGCAGTGTTGTGGAGCACCTACTGCTGTTACTATTTATTAGATCTCTACTATTACCACCGAATGGCTGATGGTCTAATCAAATCGTTGTGCTGCTTAATTTTCCATGGCGTGTATTGCCTGAAGTTTACTTGATTTCACTTTGATATAACCATTTACTTATGTCCCTGAAGAACAACTTGCATTCCCATGATTTCAATATACAAATAGGTATGTTTCGAGAGGACAGAGCTGTCAAGGGTTAAAGCATATATCACATCGAACAATATTCTGTATAACAGTATAATGTCGCATACTACTTTACTTGAAGTTTCCGTACAATGAGTGAATAAAACACTCTGACATGTATATGAACATACTGTCCAAAATAAATCTGTTATTATTATTCTTACTACTTCTATGGTTTCGGACTACTACTATCCACATCAATCAATCAGCAGTTATGCTTCACAATACATTTGAGAGAAAATGTCAACGTAACCAACACCAATTAGAGAAGTATTGAAAACCAAGGAACACTAGAGACTGTTTCGTCCTGGTTTGGGACTCTTCAATGTTGTATACCCATGACCCCTCTAGGAATCGAACTAGGGACCTTCAGATTACGAGATCACTTGGACCGGAATTCAGTAGGTGGTTATGAAGTTCATCTTCTGTCACCAACTAATGTGACAGATGAGCATCTACTTGCCGTTGACACAGTTTTCAACGAATGTTCAGATGATATTGCTTCGTGATGAAATCTACACTCAATTTATTATAATCATTGTTATTATGAATACTACTATTGCTACTATATAGACAAATAAACTTACTAATATATCATACATAAGTAACTCTCGCAGTAAACCGTTATTCGAATTTTCCAAGTTCTTTATGATTGCCTACCGAAATTAAAAAGGAAAACGGGAGACAATTATACTGTGTATTAATTAAGTTGTCCAGCTAAAATCTTTATTGTAAGAATAGTACTGAATTTCATTTCTAACATGGATGCAGACACTGACTCACTGAATCTCTAAGCTAAAACGTAGAAATTTGCAAAAAGTGCACCAAATCTTGGGTTTCAATCTGTAGTTGTGTGATAATTCCGCGCCAAGAACGACACGGATATCTACAGCACTCTGCTTTTCAGCTTCTCTTCAGCTGAAATCGGATCGTGACGAACGGTGATTTGAAATCATACAAATCCCCAAGTAGCCCAGCACTTGACCATCATATTCCCTAATTAATTGGTCGTAAGAATCTTTTGAGTCAATATCAGTCACATAATCTGGGAAATTTCATAATTTTCCTGCGCTTTGAAGTTTTCGTAGCGATTAGATTGATTTTATGTGTTTGGGTGGCTAGCCGCATACTCAGCATTTCCTTCTTATCCTGGCTTCCGACTGACTAGTAAAGTAGCCGAGGTTGAAAGCTACAGACTTTCATCAACACCTGCCTTCAACACATACACCGTTGGCCGGAAAGGATTCTCAACAAACTAATCAATAATCTGGCACCCAACAAATATGCAGAAATAAATGGAAATAGGTCGAGCAGACACCGAGGAGAATTGAATGATATCACGCACTAGACCACTTCTCAAGTGGAATATGACTGGTAAATGACGAGTTGGGCACGAATCTGAGACGGAAATGGGAGAGGTCATACTTAGCGGAAATGAAAGCTTATGGGTAATCGTGGAACCAACCAAAAGGGACTGTAGATGAGAGAGTAATGTGCTGATGTGCTATTGAGGCCTTTTATTCCCCTCCAGGTCCAAGGGAATAATAACAATAAAGGAATTATTTTACGCTTTCAGCTAGCTAATAATATTATTAGCTGTCGATACGCACAGATGGTAGTCTACCAGCCTCATCAAGAGCAAAATACACCTTATTGATATCGAAAGCAGCCTATAAAAGCCATTGGAGGAGGCTTCTGAGTTGCTGTGAGGCGATAGCCTTCCGTAAAACTAGGCATCACATAAGCCCAATCTGTGTGTGTCTGTATGTACAGAAAACAATTTATCATCACTCTGAACCTACCTTAGTGATCTTTATCTGATTATATTACCAAATTAAGTTTTAGTTATTCTTAAATCCTTTATCACTTTGTTTATTTTAATTAACCTTTCATTTTTCGTATAAATTGATTCCACAAGTAAATGTGTGATCAGATTGTTAGAAATGCACTGAGCAAAAGATACATCACACTACTTTCGTCAAAAACCAACTCAGTCTTCTAACATGACTCTATCATAATTTATTAGGGTTATAAGTTATGTCAAATTAATTTGTTACAACGCGCCTTTGTTGGTAATAGGTTGATTAAATGGGTAATGAACTGATGAAGAAAGGTATACAGATTGAAATTCCCGTGTCTTCTCTAAAGAAACTTCTTCTAAGGTATACACAATGAACGTAAACTTCCTGTTCAATAAAAAAATGTATAGACAATCAGATGGTGTTGCCATAGAATCACCACTAGGTCCAATCCCAGAGGAATTTTTCATGGCAAAACTACAGAATGATTCTCTTAAAGATATAATACATAATCTTGATTTCTATTGCCGATATGCCATCGATCCATTTATAGTTGTAAAGAAAGGAAGTGAGGCTAAGCACATATTGGACAAATTCAATAAAGCTCTTTCTGGCATAAGCCTCACTTAAAGAAGAAGCAGAAAAAAATGTATCTTGTTTTTGGACGTCCTAATGACTAAGCGAACAGATGGAACAATATGTAGACGTTTGCATAGAAAACCTACTTCCACTGGAAAATATACTAACTTCTTGAGCTCCATGCCTCTATAATACAAACGTAATTTGGTTAGATGTCGGTTTTGCAGGGCTAGCGTTATCAGTTCAAATGAACAAAGAACTCGGTAATATTTGCGATCCACTAATTAGAAATGGGTATCTGACAGAATTCGTGAACAAACACATGAACTCAGCAAGCAAAAAGTCAAAGGTACCCACTGGTCCCAAAAAATCAATCTTATGAGGTCACAGTTGATGGGTGATGCCAATAGTGAGATTTTATCGCAACATCTGAAAAGGCCCTTTAAAAAGAACTTTCATAGCAGCTAATTTATGCTGTATATTCATTTAGTTCAAAAAATAAAAATAAAAACTGCCCTGTTTCTCCTCTTCCATGTGTATTTACCATTTTAACTGCTCGTGAGTAGCTAGTTACATTGAGCGTACGATCAGGCAAGTTCATCATCGAATTTCTGAACACCTCCCATGTTGGTTTGGCAAAGGTCCGAATAAAGACATACGCAGCTCACTACTAGCTCACCTCGTCGATACTGAACATCGAGCTGACGCTAATAAAGCTTTTAAAGTTACTTGTTTTATTTTGCCGACCTTTCACATACTCTTAGAGTACGAATTAACTTATCTTGAATTCCGTAATTAATTATTTTCACCCCTCCTTCAAAACTCAGATTTCTTGTGACTAACATTTATCAGTTAATGAATTGTTTTGATGACATTTAACATCTTAATTTCCCACCCTTCTATACCTAAAACTAACTGACTAAAATAACCACTTGATTGGTAAAATTTTTAATATAAAAAACTATATATTATTATGTAGCCGATGATAAGGAACTAATTGCAGTTCAAATTAATTTATTCGCAAATAATTTACTACTTTTTCTGTTCAAAGCAGTATATATGCGCACAGAAAATTAAAAAAAGTGAATCAGTAGGAAGAGACTCTTAAACGACATTATTAACAAGTTGTGCGATAATACTTATGGTTTATTTTGAAGTGATAATGTGAATTTAGACGAAATATATAAGATTCTTATCATACTTAAACATAAAGTTATAAAGCTGAGTTGAGAATCAATAAGATTAGTAAGCTAACACATTACGCAACAAGATGTCAGAATTCTGATAAAATAACTCTGCGGAAATTATGTCTAATCAAATAAAGAAAGGATGTCAAGTTACGTGACGTTGAAAATTGTTCAAAGTGAAAATAACTAAATACACCTGTAGCAAAATTTAGAACAGCACATTTTAGCGAACAATATTGTGTTTAAGACAATTAGTCCCTTTTATAAATTTGGATAGCGTTATTAGAAGATGGAGATTATCTGAAAAATGTGTCCTATTTGCGCTATACATTTCGAACAATCTGATTACACATTTTCTTGTCAAGTCGATATATATGAAAAAATTAAATTAAACAAAGTGTCGAGAAAAAAGGATTTAAGGATGATTAACACAACGTTTGGTAATCCAATCAAATAAGGATTACCAAGGTAGGTTAAGAGTAATAATAAACTGTTTTTGAATAAACAGGGAGGGGGTGCCCAAGTTTATGAATAGCTATAACCTCAGCATATTTCAATAAGTGCCCTTGACCGTTTTTGTAGATGAACTTAAAGGCTGAGTTAACATCAATCTAATGGTTCATCTCGATTATATGTTTAGCCGTAGACGAAGTTGGTAGTCTGACACCTGCATCTATTGGTTTTTCGCAATTCATTTGTTTTTCATACCATTTTTGGGATATGCTCTCCCACCTTGGTAATCCTTATTTGATTGGATTACCAAACGTTTGTGTTAATCATCCTCAAATCCTTTTTTCTCGACACTTTGTTTAATTTAATTTTTTCATATATATCGACTTGACAAGTAAATGTGTAATCAGATTGTTCGAAATGTATAGCGCAAATACTTCACATTTTTCAGATAATCTCCATCTTCTAATAACGCTATCCAAAATATTGTGTTTCCAATTACTTCTCATTAGGCTTAACTCTAATATGCATAACTTTACAAATAGAAATTCAAATATAAACCAATCATGGTGTTTTGTCTACAGGATAATAAGATGGTGAATATAAGTTGTGCAGTTAGCCATAAGTATAATACCAACCATAATAATGATTCTATCAATAACAAAGATGAAAAAGTGAGACGATCTGTGATGACAAGAATACTAATGAAAAACAGCAACATGAAACTAACAAATGTGTTCAGATGGAAGCAATAGTCATTAGTGATCATTCAACGGAGAAAACGAAATTCTGATTGACTTTATTATTGTTATTAGTTTCTAGACTTTCAAGCACCCTTAAGACAAGCAATCTACTCTTCCATATATAGGAATCAAGCTAACACCATCAAATACTGCGTGGATTGGTGCCATGCTGTGATTTAACTACCTCAACACACTCCTCATCCTCGTCTAGTTTACTAGCAGCAGAGGATAGTAATCCCATAGAAGATAGGAGGTGGAGTGGACGCGGCCAAAAATAGCATCTTTAAACAAATAAGGGAATATCGCCGCTAACTTCAAATCCTTGAAGCCCTATATTCCACTCAGAAAGCAGAGAATGAAAAAAATATCCCATTGTAAATCGGACTACACTATCCGTCGAGGAAGGGAGTGTCTTAATTATTATTATTATTATTGTTCCCTTGAGTTCCTAGTGGAACATAGGGCTTCAACTGCACGTCTCCACTTGCTTCTGTCTTCTGCTGTACTTTACACTTGCATCCATGTTAGTCCATACTGTTTCAGCTCCTCTTCACACGATCTTCTCCATGTAACCCTTGGACGTCCCACGCGCCACTTCCCTTTCGGGTTCCACTCGAGTGATGGCCTGACTCGCGATGTCACCCAACGGCCTCCTCAGCGAGTGTCCAATCCATCTCCACTTTCTCCTGCATATTTGTTGGGCAAGGGAGTGTCTTAGTGTGCCTAAAAATCCAAAATACTGAGTAACATCCACCCAATAAATTCCCCACTTAAATCAACTAACTTACACGAACAGCCTACTGAACCTCAAAGAAGCTTTGTCCATCGGAGACCCATATGAAACGGTCAGCTGAAAAGCCTCCACAGTTTTCTGTCTGTTGAACAAGAGCATCCGTAGTAACGATGCTATGAGCGAAGAATTAGAATTTCTGAGAAACTCCTAACCCCAAACGGATAACTACTGATATTTACTGGAAAGAATATCAAACCAAAAGTTCAAAGAGACGAAACGTCATCTGCACCAAAAAAGAAAATTTTTATAAACCTTGATTGAAAGGGAGACTTAAATTTCAATGTCTTTAAGAGAAGAATCTCACCATCTTTTAGAGGAATATTCTTCTCAGTAACACTAAGCTTAGTCTTCTCCAGTCCTTCACTGATCTGCGGAAACCTTAAGGACAAAGCCATTTCTGTGTGCACATGTATCAGTTCACCTGTTCTTGAAGAGCCAAGCATACTGGTCATTCAACACGTATGCTGCCCAAAAAGGTTCAAGAACACTATCGCACACGGTTGCAGAAAGGTAATAGTGACTTTATAAGGAGTGTGACAACTGTCTCAACAAACTCCTACAAAGTAATATACAGAGTGGGAAGGAACTTGGCAAAGAAAATACGCTCTCATCTCATCCACATTGCTGACAATCTAGTAGACAAAACAAAATTATTCAACTACTTTTACTATTTCTAGCCTGCATGCTTTTCTCTATTTTATCAAAACTTACTTTCTGTAACTATGTAACCAATTATTAGTGTTAAAGCTCTTTCTAGTTAAATTTTATTTCTACATATGGTACATTTTTTTCCTATCATGGTGTAACAGTAGAAGGTAAGACGTGGAATCAAATGTACATTTTTAAGCGATCAAACAACTATTTATATCTGTACTATTTACATTCATTAACCAATCACTGAGCTTGTGATTTTGGTTTACATTAGACGGCATGAAATAGAATGTTCAAATATGCATAGTATTCTGTTGCTAACGCAGTATTGAACTGGGAGAATAATATTCTGACTCTAACACCAAACAAAATGTTCAAATAGATATATCGTATTCTGTTGTTAATGCCGTATTGAACTGTAGGATTATGTGAGAATAATATTCCGTTGGAACACATTGTCTGTATCACACCACTACAATGGTAACAACCTTGTTATTGTTTTTTTGACCTAACTGATTTTGTTTGTTTTGTTTTTCAACCCTTTATAACTCTTACATTACTTTTGGAACTCTCACGTTTCGTTTCTATACTTATCTTGATTACAGCTCATTGATATTAGGATTTTATCATGAGCTGACATCAGTTAGAGAACAATTGGACAACTGTTTCATCTTAGTGCCTGGGTCTCTTCAGCAGTACGCATCCACCACACACGTTTGAACCCAGAACCTTCTGGTTACAAGGTGAGCTCGTTGGTCATTAAGCCACTGGGACGCAATCCAATCGTCCATGAATTCCAATTCATGATGAAATCCTGAAACCATCCCTGCAAACCAACACTTGAATATCATTCATATTAAGTTAATTATCTTATTAAGTAACTCTTAATGCTCTCACTCAATTTCTCTTATGTATTGATGAATAATATTAGCAACGATCAAAATGACACCTTATCACTACGGTTATTATTCTCTCTTGTGGAAAAGATGTTATATATAAATGCGATTGTACAGTTAAAAAAAGGAGGGGATGAAGTCTCAGAAAAGAGACTTGATGCTGAACTAAATGTCTGATTCTCTTCATTAATCAACTCTGTATAGAAAAAAACAACATAAACTTACCATAGGATCACGGAATTGATTGACAACAGGTTTACATGGAACTGACATGGCTCGACTTGCAAATCTTAACGTAGACAACTAAAAATAATTGTGAAGTGTATAGAACGTGAGATGTGTAAACAGAAATATTTTCAGTGAATATGTTTTGAAAATGGAGAAAAAGACGCATAGAAGAATAATCACTGAAATTAACAGAAGGTAAGGGAACATAAGGCAGTCGAAAATGATACCACTTCGAAGTGTCCACTACGTGGTTTGTTAAGATTCAGATGAACGAATGATGAAGATTCAGATGAGTTTAAAATTGAATTTCATACGCGCATATCAGCTAATTAGGGAGGTAACAAGGCATAATTAATAATCTCTTATTACTAGGCGTCTTTACTCTGTTTTTTGTGTCACAATTTTTGTCGTTTTCTGATTACAACACACTGAACTGGACTCATTACTGACCTTCCAGTTTTCACTTAACTACTTGTTTACTTAACAGCTTTTATCTTTTATTTACCACATCTTTTCACTCCCACCCTCTCATCTTACATTTAGGGAAACTCTAGTTGTTCATTTAAAAACTATCTTTCATACATACCCCTTGTTTCACGAAGAATTCTGTTAGACCCTTTAGTTGTCGTTGTTTTTTTTCATATTCAGTTAAAAAAACTTTTATTTCAGTCCATTTCAGTAACTATTCTGGCCGCGCCTGTCTTCATTAGGAACTATTTTACATAATATTAGATGGTTAGAGGCAATCGGCAGGAAGCCTTGGACCTAGGATTCGTGTCAGTTGGCACTCATCAGTCAGCAACCTTGAAGGAACTTATTTCCCTTCTGAGATTCGAACCCACGTCACCCAGTGCTACCAGCAGTCAGAGACGTTACCACTGAACTATTTGACCTCCAGTAGGACTGTAGTGGATACTTTGATTGGACACTAGTAACTAGTGCGATGTGTCTAGTCCTTTCTTTGGTGCTAGTTGCCTCCAACCATCTAATATTATCAAATCAATATGCACCAAGATGGTGAGCTACCTAGAATGGTGGCCACATTGCAAACCTCATTGATAGAATTCAGTCTGCACCGAAGATGGGACTAGACACACCACACTAGTTACTAGTGTCCAATCAAACTATTTTACACGTTACGCAACTATTTTCTATTCCCCTTGTAATATGTATTCACACCTTCAAAACTTTCGAATCAAGTTGAAATTTATTATGACACGTAATCTTCCTCTGTTACTTTATTGGAATGAATAACAATTGAAAACTATGTAAAGTTATGTATATAAATGCGAATGTACGGCTGCTTCTGAGAATGAAATCTCCGAAAAAATATCTTCTTCTTTCCTCTCTAAAAGCATTCACCAGGTGACTAACCCTTAAGTAGGCAAACTGAAATCTATCGATCAGGGAACCTGTAACACTGATATAAGAATAAAACTTGGGCACCGTGGTAGAGTATAATCCCAATACGGATAGAAATTTATTTTGATAAAATCACGCAATGTTGTTATACAGCAATATTTACTGATGACCACGTTTCGAACACAATTCATTGCTGCTCATAGTCATATCAAGGCACTCACTCACATAACCTTCTTGCTTCATTTATATAAATGAGTAAAAATTGAATTGACATATGAACAAAATCAATAAAAGACATGCTTGAAACAGAAAGGAAGATAAAGTACATTCGGAAATAATATGAGTGTTATCAATAAAATACAGTAATATGGGAAATAAGACGAGTGCTGTTAGTCAGTTAGACGGTAAATAAGATTTTTTTTATATTAAAATAAATAACTTGTTAGAATGTTATAGTATGAATTGAAATACATTTTAACATTATTTATTATTCTCTGATTTGACTGGTAATAATATCTTCCATATCTCTGGTATTTGCTTTGAGTTACTTCTATTGCATGTGTTGGGTGTAGATTCGATGAACCAGGATTCAGTAATCAACCTCTCTCTCCACCTACCTAGAATGTGCCTGCATGTCACGCCGGTAACCTAGCATAGGCAACTTACACTTGGCAGATTTCAGTGCATTGGCTTGTGACTGACTGACTGAGTTTAAAAGTAGAACTTTGAGCAGAGGTGCGGCACTTCTACCTGTCACACTCCATGTAGCAAACGAGGTAGACAAAAGCGAGGAAATCAGAATCAAAAGAACTGCAACAAGCAGGAGAAAAAACATGACGGTTTATTGGACATGCAAAATCAGCATGAGTGAATGCGTCTATATTATTATTATTATTTCCTTTAGTTCCTAGAGGAACATAGGGCTTCAGCCATGCGTCTCCATTGCGTTCGGTTCTCTGCTAGAGTTTTCACCTGACTCCAGGTTTGCCCACATGCTTTCATCTCCTCTTCACATGATCTCCTCCAGGTCACCCTTGGACGACCAACTCGTCGCTTCCCTTTCGGGTTCCACTCGAGGGCTTGTCTAGTGATGTCACTTGTTGGTTTCCTCAGAGTGTGGCCAATCCATCTCCATTTCTTCCTGCCTATTTGTTTCACAATCGGTTCCTGGTTGGTTCGCTCCCAGAGATCTTTGTTGCTGATCCTTTCCGGCCATCTGATCTTGAGTATTGAGCGAAGACATCTGTTAATGAAGGTCTGTAGCTTGTTTGAGGTGCTTTTTGTGACACGCCAAGTCTCTGATCCGTATGCGTCTATAGTTTCAGGTCAATGGTTTGTAGCTCCAGGTCGTCTACATTTCACTGTATGACTCATACCAACAGTCAGTGACTTCATGAACTGATGCCAGGTTTTGATTTGACCACCTCTAACTCTTTTCCAAATGAATCCTATGTCAGGTATCATTGCCCCTTGAGGAAGGTGATGACTCTGCATGAGTAAAACGTGTCATAACCATCTCAGTAGAGGTAACTTCAAAATCTTGGTACTAATTAGCTAATTATGGTAGACTTTAGGATGTATATAACACATACAAAACAATCTAGAACTTACTGTTTCATTTAAATACTCATATTTATTCCATACATTTGCTATTAGGATAGTTTGACAACGTCCGCCAATACTATTTTTCAAGTAATGTGTTAACTTCGATTGTCTATAGGGTATATAATCTCTTGACTGGTCAGATAAGGCCAAAATAGTCTGTTCAAGAAATGTTAACGATCGATTGATGTAGGTTGCTTCCTTGAAAAGTTTATCAGTTGTCTGAATTGGTACAAAAAACCAGGAACAGCAAAACAGGAAACTATCAGAAGTATAAAATCTGTGAGAAAAATTGCAGATTAAACATGTTTTTATTTACTGAATTAGTCATCAGAAATATGAGTGAAAAATCGCCACAGCGAATTCTAAACAAAAAGAAGACATAGTGATAATAATTTGAATATTCACTAATGAACCAAAAATTGCCATATATTCAGTCATTAATGGTACCTGCTCTTTGGAAGAAAATAAAGATTCTACCTAAAGGAAAATCATCACCATCATCTTCTGGATCAGATTTAAGGCTTAGACCAATCGTCATCACAGCTGAATTTTCGGAAACTATGGAAAAATTTCTTTTGCTTGTTCCTAAACTCTCATTAAATTCTTCGAGTGACCCTATGCAATTAGCTTACAAATGAAATAGAGGCACTTTAGATGCTGCCATTTTACTGCACGACAGTTAAACACTGTTGCTTTCGACTTTGTTCTTAGGACACGTTCGGTCAATAGGCAAGCTAACTCCACCACGCACTGAGTCCTGGGTTACATGGTGAGAGCAAACAGCACACTGTTGTTAATGGGAAGCTCTCCACTTCTTTGTTTACTGAATCTTTTGCACTTGAAGGTGTTGTACTACCCTCCATCTCTTGTTACATATATTACCGTATTCTTTTAGAGCCGATTTTATTAAATATGTTGATAACCTGAAAATTTCTGTCCTAGCTGTTTCTGAATTAGACTGTTATGGTATGAATAGTTTCAGAAATGAACAAGACTTGAGTGGACTTATTCAAGCGCATGACTCTCGAATGTTATCGACGGCACTTCGGTAGGAGGTAAGTCAAATACTCCCTATCTTGGTATCAGTTTCTCCCCTATTCTTTCTTGGTTGTTTCACAGCTTTTTACTGATTTACAACATAAAAAGATTGGCATCATAACCCTAACCTCTTCTCTTACAATTTATTAATTCATATATTTTACCCATTCTTCTTTATTCTTCCCTGGGTTTCTCAAAAAAGAACTATGTTATATTACATAGAACTTTGGATGCTGTAAACAGTGGTATGTCTTGGACCCAACTGAGTGACACACTGTTGTCTTTAAGCTATTGGCTAAAAATGCCATTTTTTCTGAAACTGAACATCCTCTTTATTATTCGCAACTTTCTGCTTGTATCTTTTTGAGTGAAACCAAATTTAGCACGAATGTTCTGTGAAGAGAGACAAGTATCAAGAAAGAACCTATTAAAACCTACTTTATAATCTGTGAATGAACAACAACTTATTACTAAAATTATTTTACTACATATATTACTTTTCTACTAACTTCAGTTTCTGCAATTTTATTAGTTTTTTTTTTACTATTTTATGTATTTATTTATTTGTAAAAGGAGATGAATTGTTGCGACATGTATAAAACGCTAAAGATTCCATTCTATATACAAATTACTGTTTAGAATAAAGTACTTATTACTATCAACAATTTCAGAGAAGAACGTTACTCAACAATCGCTTGCACAATCCTATGCAATTGCCGATGAACCATTCCTATCGTGTGGGGGTTAGTGATCTCACCTAGCAGCTGTCGAAACCTCGGTAGGTGGAGCAGGACCCGTGACCCATTGATTGGAGGTAGAGCGCCAAAACCAATGAGCTACACAGCTGCACGCAAATGAAGATGCATCAGAAAAGAAAACTTTCCCTTTCTTCGATGAATCATTTTCGACAGATGAATTCGCACGACCATTAAAATACTGGTCACTATTCTAGAAAATGCAATATGCAATGTGGGTTGAAATCTAGAAGGGATTGTTCAACTGGAGATTAAGAGGAAGAGATGTTGGAATTACATGATAAGTGTGGGAAAATGACCCAGTCAGTCTAAATGTACAAAATGGAGAAAGACTAGTGCGAATTTGGTAGTGCTCAGAGTAAATCTGTATGAGGAAATTTTTTACCTATAAATTGCAATATTAAAGATTGTTATATGATAGTAAGAATAAACTAAAATATCAAACCGCGAATTGGAACGAAATCACAGCAAAAGTATTACTCCAGTTATAGTATTGCCGGTGGGTATGAGCAGTGCTTTTGAAGGTAGAGTTCCGGTTTTAGGTCCCGGAAAGCCAGTGTTTTGGTTATGTATAAGTAGCGTACTCGAAGTCCACTCATGAGATATTGGGGGATTCTGTGGATCATTGTGAAGCAGACACACGGGAATCCTCGATGTCCAGGGTTGTCAAAGTGCTCGACAACAGAACTGTTCGCATTCTTCTTTTCTTCTATGAGTATCCAAGTTTGACCTTGTTCCAAAATACATTTGCAGCACTGACTCTGTTAACGGTCAATGTACTTGGCTCCACAGGACATTTCTCATACGGATTACATGTAAAAATGTTCATCATATTTCCACTAACTCTTCTCGACTTTGTATATTCACAATGATCGAGTAATTTTTCTGCATTTATTACACGATTCCAACTTCTCTTCCTCTTAATCTCCAGTTGTACAATCCCTTTTAGATTACAAATCACATTGCATAATACATTTTCTAGAATATTGACAAGTATTTCAGTGGTCGTGTGAATTTATCTCTCGTATATGAATAGATTTTGCAGCAGCCTTTGAAAGTAATTCACCGAAGACAGGGAAATTTCCTTCAATTCCACCTTCTTTTAGTTTATGAATCAATATGGGAATTTTCGGTTTATGAATGAATATTCTAGTCACTAGTTTATTGTAATTTTAGAATAATTTCAGTATGGATTTCGTCTCAAATCGAAGTCAGAGATTCAATACAATACCAGGGAAGGCACTGGATATCTGTTTCGTCCTAGTTTGAAAGTCTTCATCAGTGCGTACTAGCAACTATACCAGGGATCGAAAGCAGGACCTTCAGATTAGGACTCAAATTTGTTGACTGTAAAACCTCAAAGTTAGAATCTAGTGAATCATGTGTTCTAACTCCTTTAAATTCGTAAAACAGCACTACTACAGGCCAGTGTCATTGACTAGCATCCATTTTCGATCAGACCTCAATGATTACGAACTGTCAAAAGAAATTCTGAGGACACTATTGAGCAAATAATTAACATTTATCCAGCCAAACGTGAGATGATGCTCTTAGAACTGATCTTAACCGACTCTATTCTTAAAGATGGAGAGTGATGTGGTTGGGGGTAAGCCTAAGGAAAAGGAAGGAGATTAGACGTGTGGCTAGTAACCCCAATGTATGAATATAATACAATACCACCACTAGTGAAACTTCAAAAAGCTCTTGAAGCTCCCTAAGAAAAGAAATGATGACAAATAAAAAATATTTAAAAAGATCTAACCTGAACTCCTTTTAGCCTTTCTGAACCAGCTAAATCCACATAATGAATTTTACTATATCTCGTATATCCATCACTACTATCCATGGGATCAACTATTTCCAGGTAGACTGTTAGTATAACATGTGAACGGGACGATGAACGATTCAGTGCATGTGATGCAGTTGTCCGATTCAATTCACCCTAAATGAAAAATAAAACAAATAGAAATCTAAGTCAGTGGAATAAAATCAAAGCAACCAATAACTACGAAGTAACATTGGTTGGGGAACAGCCACTTGCTGAAGACACTGGCTAGTATCAGAAGTTAGAATCTATGGTCACTGGTTTAATGATCATTTGGGTTGCCTTATAGCCCAAAGGCGCTGAATTTTGTCCCCCTCCTCGACCCAGACTAGGGCAAAAGACCTATCCAGTACTCCCTAGTTGTTTTCAATATTTGGTTTCCAAATTTATTTCAGTCAGTAAAGAAAGAAAGACCAGATTTTCAGTATAACATGATATCATTCTATTTCATAGATCCTTGTCAGTTGCATACCATTACCTGGAATAACAATAGTTATAAATAACTAGTGAAAATAACATACTTCAATGTTTGAATAGTAGTAAAGAAAACATTATAAAATCGACACATCCGAAATATAAGCAATGCAATTTCTGGCTTAATTTACCGTCAGTTTATATGCTTTTGAAGTAGAAAAGGAGGTGGGAGGAGAAGACAGAAAAATCTAATAAACAAACAGTGTTAGCTGGTAAGTTCACATTAGCAACTCAAGATGGTTATAGAGCATAGGATTGAAAACTTGCTCATCAGTGAGTTGAAATCACTAATATATAGATGAGTAATCAATGTAATCAAAATTTAGTTACCAAAGGAGTCAGCGAGAGATTGATTACACTCTCTTTCTGTAAGCATAAGTTTGGTTCGAAAGGCTTGACTGCAGCTGCTTCAGCAAATCGGGGTAAATTTGCTGTCATTTATATGCCTAATATTTTGAAAGATTTAGACATCTCGACGGAATGGCCAGTATCCACATGGTGCCTGGCAACTGCACTTTGTAAATACCTGCTTCCTTTAAGACACAAGTTTCTTTGGATATGCTCTGAAAACTAGGTAGAAGCACTTCTTTCTGTCCTTTCAATGTACTTGCTCCCGCTAGTGGACATAAATTTATAAACGCAATTAAAGATGACATCATTGGGGTAATTATGCATTTTAGATTGGCTTAAAGAGTATGTGGTATAGTTGATGAGAACCTGTGAAATAGAGTGGTATCATTTTATATTGAGAATCTAGTCTTTCTTTTCTTTTTATTGAAAATTATGAAGGGAACCGAATATATATAATGATGTCAGCCAGTTCATGGTGTGACTTAAAACATAAATAAACTCCTTCTGCAAACCAAACAACACTTGAAAATTTGTGGACTGATTAATTAATTACTAAGCATAATGAAAGTCAGCTGTTCAACATGGTATAAGAGGGAAACAAACAAGTTAAGAGAAGGGATATATTGCTTTTCAGTTAGATCCTTTTAGGTGGCTTTGCTCTAAAACATCACGGGCAAATTATCAAGCCATTTTTGGTTCAATGGTAGACTGCACGCCAGGCATTTCGGAGGTCTGGGTCTGATTCTCGGCAGCCGATGCACTCATATAAACCTAGCCTAGGTCACAAGTAGCTGATAGTAAGCTCAGAAAAGAAGGAAAGTTGGTTGGGGTGAGGGTAACTCTAGTAACTTCACACCATAAAGAGAACAACACTTCCACTGAAACTTGACAGTTCAAAGTTCCACTCAGAACACAAAGGAATAAAAATATAAAGAAAGAACCGTATTTACTGACAGAAAGATTGTAGATTATATTAATTTCGCAGGTAACTTATGTCTAATGGCACATAAATTCGAATACTTACAGGCAAAGACCAACAGGTTAGCAAGAGGGGTAGTCAACGAAGGAAGGACTTCAGGTGAATATAGAGAGGACACCGGGGATGAAGATACTTAACCAACAACAAGAAGCACCAATCATGGTCAGCGGGAGAAATTTGAAGGAAGTTGCCTTCTTCGCTTATCTAGGCAGGATGGTTTCAACGACAAGCCCCCCGAATGAGGATGCCAAGGCCAGCCTATCAGGATCGGAAAAGCAAGCCAGAGCTTCATCACTATGAAATCAGGCTGGAAATCCCCTACACTCAACACAAGGAACAATATTCGCTTTCCCAACACTGATGTCAAATCAGTTCATAGTCTTGGCGTGTCACCAAAATCACCTGCATCTGGCTACCGCAGACTTTTATCAACACCTGTCTTTGTTGTCTCGACAGTGAATATAAGATACCTAGTCAGCCAAGATAAGGAACAAGGAAGTGTGACAATGAACCAAGCCAGAACCAATTATGTGAGCAACAAAACTGCCTGATGAAATAAAGGTGAGCAAGTCATTGAATGGCTTCACCCGCTAAGTCATCACTCAAGTGGAAATTTACCAGGGAAAGATGAGCTGGGCGTGGGTTCAAGGATGACATGGAGTTCGTGTGAAGTGGAAATGGAAACTTGTAGAGGGAAATTTAGGAGAAAGGTTAAAAAGATTACAGTGGTCAGAGTGAAATGGCGATATGCTGCCAAACTCAACGGAATAATATTAACACGTATGTATGTTACCTCGAATAATACAGTCAACGCTTCTTCTACATTATTCACAGTGATACACTTCAATCCTTTGATATAAACCTGATCATTAGATTCAGCTATTTGTAATAAATCCGGTGATTGTTTACGCACAGTTTTACTCGTTGAAATATCATTCAACAGATCAATAATTTGTTCATTGTATATTTCAAAATATGATAATCTGAAATAATCAGCAGAAAGGAAGGCATATATTCACAGTTAATTAAAATAATGCAGTAAACAGGGAAAGAGCTCCCTATCTCAATAAACTTCCAAAGAATAATTAGCATCAAGGAAGAACATTCTTTTCTATAACTTCCTTTTCTTCATCAGATTCTGCATTATTGTATTTACATAATAAATTAGAGAACTTAGACAGCTTCGTGCTTAGGAACATCCACCAGTGTGCTTAAATAAATGTGTACCAGGAGCCATCAACAGGTCGATATTAGACAACCTAGTTCAAACGAATATATCATCTCTATTGGGTACCAAACAAGCTGTGAAACATCTCTAGGTATCGAATAGGCTATAGCAATTTAATTAAAGCACTCGGATCTGTGTGTGCAAATGAAACAGGTGAAGCCAATATTGTTACCTTGCCCCTTTAGGAAACCTTTATATAGATTCATAAATTCTGTATTATCATCTCTCATAACCAACTTAGCATACTATCAGTTACAAATGCTCATGAACTGTAATATATAGATCTTAGTGATTCGATTTTTATTTGTAGACGTGCTTTAGCTCACCTGTAGTAGATAATGAATATGTAGTTGATGTATCAGGGAGGCATTCAAAGTTATCTATGGTCTTCCCAAGGCTAACCTTAATTTTATCTCACGGGTTCGTATTCTAAATATAACTGAAACCATTGGAATCCAAGTAAACAGAAGCCAAATCTATTCTTTGCTGAATATTCTTTCTGGCTTTTAAGGTGGGTAGATGGGAAATTTCTGTGTTATGAATTTATTATCAAGCTGTACAATCGTATATGCATGATTTTACGTGTTCCATTGAACCTAGGTATATTGGTTGTTCTAAGAAGGTTTTGTCCATATAAGTTGCAAGAACATTAACCTGGATGGTCATGAAGACGTGGAAGCGGAATAATCAGTTAATTACTCGACAGTGGTCATCTTATCCACCCAACATCTCTTCCTCGAAAGTTATCATCCTGTAAAGTGAAAAACAACCCCTCAAAATCATTACGTGTCTGACACATCTGTAGTGCAGAAGTTTCGGTCATTGAAATAGAAAAGCCAGAGTCCTGTTTAACAAGTTCTTCTTCCATAGGCCTAATCCGTCCATTATTATTATTGTTCCCTTGAGTTCCTAGTGGAACATAGGGCTTCAACTGCACGTCTCCACTTGCTTCTGTCTTCTGCTATACTTTACACTTGCATCCATGTTAGTCCATACTGTTTCAACTCTTCTTCACACGATCTCCTCCATGTCACCCTTGGACGTCCCACGCGCCGTTTCCCTTTCGGGTTCCACTCGAGAGCCTGACGTGCGATGCCACCCAACGACCTCCTCAGCGAGTGTCCAATCCATCTCCACTTTCTCCTGCATATTTGTCGGGCAATTGGTTCTTGCTTGTTTGTTCCCATAGCTTCTTGTTTGTGATTCTTTCCGGCCATCTAATCTTCAGTATGGAACGAAGACAGTTGTTGATAAAGGTCTGCAACCTGTTGGAAATATTTTTTGTGACCCGCCAAGTTTCTGATCCGTATAGAATAAGTGACTTGACGTTTGTATTGAAAATCCGGATTTTGTTGTTGATGCTGAGTGACGAAGATTTCCAGATTGGTTTCAGGTTGATGAATGTGTTTCTCGCCTTCCCGATTCTCCATTTGACATCCTCTTCCGTTCCTCCTGTAATTCAGTCAGTGGTGCCTAGATAAGGGAATGAAGTAACCTCTTTCAAATCCCTCCCGTTGATGGTGATTGGCACTGGATGTTGCTGTTGTTGGTTGGTTATTTTCATAACCCCCGTCTTGTCTATGTTCACCTGGAGTCCTGTCTTTGCTGCTTCTTCCACCAATTTGTCCGTTTTGGTTTTATTTATTTCAAGTTTTATTTGCACAATCTCCCTAGTTATTTTGACTGGTATTATGATTACTTGTACAATGAAGAATTTCCGGTGTTACCTCACATGTCACACTTCATTTATTGGATTCGGTATACCATTTATTGAATCCTCTCCAGTCAGAATTCACACCCTTTAACTAAATAACACATTTGCCAGCTATTTCATAAACTATATTTCTTCTTTTGCAGCTTGATGTTTAAATGTGATATTAAAAAGACGGCTCCGAACTCATCAGCTGGATAGCTGTACATTCGTGTATCTGTGTGGTAAATGGGGGGGGGGTGAAGTTTCTGAACTATTTTCGGCTGGTCAAAGGTCAAGTTAATAAGATTGCAAATAGGGATTAGAAACGTAATAATAACAAAATGTACAGGAACTTCGGATAAAAAACATAGTAGTGCAGATAGGAATTTTGAAAAACACGTAAAATCAACAGAAATAAACAGGAAGATTGGATAAGAAACATATAGAGAATAATCACTACATTGAGGATTGACGTTTTATGATGGCCATGGTGTGAAGACGAATGTTGGACATATTTATGGCGGATAAATAGCATGCGGCTTGAACATAATACGTAAGTCCTCAATATAGTGATTATTCTCTATATGTTTCTTATCCAATCTTCCTGTTTATTTCTGTTGATTTTACGTGTTTTTCAAAATTCCTATCTGCACTACTATGTTTTTTATCCGAAGTTCCTGTACATTTTGTTATTATTACGTTTCTAATCCCTATTTGCAATCTTATTAACTTGACCTTTGACCAGCCGAAAATAGTTCTGAAACTTCACCCCCCCCCCCATTTACCACACAGATACACGAATGTACAGCTATCCAGTTGATGACTTTGTCGAAAAGTTTCTTCACTGAAACCATCTTTTTAACATTCTCTATTATCTAATGTGTGCATCGGCCACACAATGGTAGACAGCTCGCCAACAATGCCGGTGGTTCAGTATTCGATCCCCGGCCGACGCATTCCTGTACCTCACTAAGCCAGTAACAAAGACTCGTAAAGAGGGAAGGTTGGGCATGAGGCTAGCAACCCCATCCCGTAAAAAATAAAAACAGTTGATATAATTATAAAACTTGGGCATTGTGGTAGAGTATAACTCCATTGTGGATAAGATTATATTTTGATAAATCACACAGTGTTATACAGTAATATTAACTGATGACGTTTCGAGAACAAACTATTGCTCATAATCAAATCAAGTAACTCACACAACTTTTTCCCTCATTTATATACACGAGTAGAATTGATTAGATATTTGAATAAAAATCAATATAGGATAATGTGCATTCAGAATTAATGTTATGTGTTTTCCAATGGTTCTCTAACTAATGTCAGCTCATGATGAAAATCCTGTAATGTTATAAGTGTTATATTCAATATTATAAGTGTCCTTTCTCCGGGAACGCGTAGCTGAACACTAACCAGTCTGGTTGGATGACATAATTATCTATTGGCGAGCAACTCCTTGTGTCCGATTTATCCTCTAAATTTGTTTGCAGGGCTAAATTTAACCACTCTTAATAATCTGATAGGAATATAAGTGAAAATAATGAGGCTTTATGAGGTGTGCGAATAAACATAGGCCAGGTTAATTATGAGCACATTAATTGAGCGATTTTTAGTGCAAATTAAGGACTTTAGTTTAAATACAACTATACAGTTGATTGAAAATGAAGTCGTCTGAAAAACAAATTTATTTCTTCGCTATATTTGCATCCCTTATGAATGAATGAGCAAGTGGTTGTAATTCTCGATTTGAATGACAATAATGTGAATAGTGAAAAAGGTTCCAATAAGTGCGGAATTCACAATCGCTCATTGGAAAAAAGAAAGTGAAGCATGGTGGTGGTGTTGTCATTAAAGTGTATGTTAAATCTGTGTTATATGCGCGAGTTATTCACGTCACAGAAGTCAGCTTTTAACCATATGTCTCAACAATTAAATACCATTGGCAGTTATAGATGGTACACACACCATCCTTTCCCACACATACTTCCGCAAAACACGCACATTCACAAACACTTATTCCACAACACATCACACCAACACACACACACACGCAAAGATTTATGCATCATCTACCTGCCTTTATGTTTACTTTCCAGCCAACAAATATATATCAATCACATCGATTCACCTAACTTCATCCACGCTGTCATCATGTACCATATGAGACAGATATTTCAGCAATTTTGTGATTGTCAAGCGACTCATTGAGAAGTTCAGTTCACGTGGATTGATCTGAGTTTATTTTCCTCCCTTTTACTCAGTGTCCCTTGATCACTGACTTTTTCAGTCTGTCCACTGTTTATGTGCGTGTTCGGGTGTATTTACAAAGGAATCTAGTCGTTCATCGGTGGCAGACTGCCTGATGATTTGTACTGAGGATGGTGTTTGTGCATTCCAACAGACATGATGAGGTGCGTGTGTGTGTGAGATATGAATAGGTGGTGGTACACATTCTAAGCGGAGAGAGGCACACGGACACGAAAACGGGCAGGAAAGCAAACTAAATCCCGAATTAATGCACGCAGAAGAGGATAGACATTGATTTGCCTGCATCATGAACATAGTGATTTTCACTGATGTGAGGAGCGATCCCGTAGCAATAGTGGTGACAACTATTGAGCAAGTAAATCTAATGTGAGTGTGTGTATCAGTCAGCTTGAGGTTCCATGCAATTGTGTGCGCGTGTTGAATGTTGTATCGACTATACTTGATTGGTTGTAGTGTGACGATTGTGGTGACCATCATATTGATTGACTTGTCGCATGCACGATTTTTGGACGTGACAGGGAACTTGATGTTGCTGATATTATTGTTGAGCTATTTTTACGGTGTAGGTTAAGCGCGCACGATGGTAGTGGGACTCTAACCCATACCGTCTCGGAATGGTGGCCTAAACCAGCACCCTAGACCACTCGGCCACTCCACACGCATCCGCGAATCTGACACATCTGTCATATTCAACACTTAATCATACAACAAGCAAACATACCACACAAAGCTGGGAAATCCTTCAATTACCACAAGTCAACTGCTTTATCCATGACGATCTAGGGAAAATTGTGTATATATTACGGGATCAATGTCCTGAATTTCTAATGAGATATCGTGATATGGGGTCCACCATAGCAAGCTGAAGGGGATGTTCATCAAAGGTACTGATTTTCCGCTGTATCAAAGCATCACGAATTAACAGAGGTTAGAACTAATAAGTATTTGAATTGCAACACAATAGCTAAATAACCGACGGGCAATCTTCACAACCTGTAGGACCCTGGAGTCGTTATCCTGTGGAGTCATAAGTGCACACTACAGAAAGATCCCATCTAAGAAGAGGAAACAACTGTTCATTGTGCACTTTATCTTTCAGCGGTTCCGTAACTGATATCGTCCATGTCCATAACACGAAATATCTATTCAGAATTAATCCAAATTCCCATTCAAACCCCGAACAAAAAACCATCTTGATAACTATTTACTTACTTTACAGTAATTGAAAGAGTCGACCTGTTTTGAATTTCTTCAAATAAGTGTGCAATCCCCCTGGGTATAATTCCACGATCATCATATAACTGGGATAATCCACTCATTGTATACGTTTTCCCAGCTCCTGTCTGTCCATAACACATTATAGTTCCTGTAAGGAAGTAGAATTTTATGCATTTCAAATAATCTTCAGTGAGCATAACAGAAAACAACTAATAGTGTATGAATAATTCAAATAAAACCTCATCTGGTTTACTAGCGCGTTCTAAGCTTGGAAAAATAGGAGAGGGCGGTGGAGTGAGTCGGGTTAGTAACCCCATCTCGTGATAAAGAAACAACCCAATGATCACAGACACTTCAAAGAACAGAAAGAATAAACTTTCTCCCTACCTAGAAGTTAGGAAGACCTCTCAGTATGAGGGTAGGTGACACCCGCGGGTGATTGCCTTCGAGCGAGTCTGTCTTATTTCAGTGAAAACAAACGCAAGCCTGAAGAGTTTAATTTCCACCCACGTTTAAGGTCGGTTATCAGGGCTGCTCAGATTGAGGAAGAAATGAGAAGATATAGCATAAGAATCTATAAGAGCAGACGGAAAGAAAGTGGACTCAGCGCGCCAGCGAAAATACTTCCAAATGGATACTGCAGACTTCCTCTGCCTTGATACTGAAGATCAGACGACTATGCAGAAAGGATAACCAGCAAGGAACTACTGCTGTAGAGTGGCTGCTAACAACTTATGATGAAATCAAAAAATATGCTGAATGAAATGGAGATCATTTGGACATTGGATGAGGAATCTTTCAAGTGACTTCTCCCGTGGGGCTTTCTAATGGAATGCAAATAGGAAGTTACAGGTGTGGTTTGGGTCTGAGTGTGACATGTTGGAGATAATGTAAAGAGGGAATGAAAGTCTGTCTGCAGCGGTTGTGAATTCGGTTGAAAGTGATAGCCTTGAGGGGCGTGGAACAGGAATATATCACGTAGTCTCTACATCCCATTCAGAAAATATTTATTTATTTGCAATAATCTTATTTAATCAGAACATACTCGTTACTCATCTGGTCGCAACTCATACCAATTCTTTGGCAGTTAGTAATATGACTCAGAGTGTTTTCATTTCCTTACATTTTGGGCAAAATATAGTCCCCCAACCTTTCTGCTTTTAAGTTTCAATGGCGACGGTGGTGTTGTTTCTCTGGAATCATATCCAACCTTCCCCCATTTTCCGAGCTTACTACCAATTACATGAGACTTTTAGGGGTGTGTATTGGATGGGAAATTGAACTTCGGATAACATTTGACCGGCAGTCACTTTACCATTGAACCACAACTCAGTAACGCTGTCTGAATTAAGTGAAACGGGATTATAACCCATTTGCTCACAAATTTATCTACCACACAAATATAAATATTCTCTTACCATTTATTCCTGATAATGCATCCGTTATTAAACGACTTGCTGTAATCTGATAAATTTCTTCTTGTGATGCATTATAGAAAATTTTTTCAAATTTATAGTCCACTGTCTGCAGCTGATTATTAATTGTATATAAAGGTGTTCCCAGGAGATCATTTTCAATCTGAACGACCCTCTGCTTTAAAGCGAAAAAGACGGAAAAAGAGACAATGAATAATATATACATGTATATATAAATGACCTGATAAGGGTGAGGATGGGTAGACTCCACTTTTTCAGTCAAAACGAGGTCGTGCATTCACAACTTCTGCCGTATAAGTCCTTTTTATTTCAGCAAAAGTGGAAGGCCGAATGAGACTGTTAGGTGCTTTTAACCGTACTGGTGAATACCCGGGTCCATTTAGGGTGAGTTAGAAAACCTTGTATCCAAAACTATGGTGCACACAGGTTGCGGAACTCGGAAGGATCGAATAGCCTATGAACCGGTTTCTGTTCACTCGCATTCAACTTGAGAACACAGCTTCTAAGGCTTCTCTTCTGCATTGTAGATAAGAATTTAAGTCAAAGATTTAGCAAGTGGTCCCTTAAGATAACTACCCGCTTTGAAATCGACGTTGCGGAAGAATCTAGGCCCTCACGCAAATCATGGAAAAATAATTAATCGTTGTTTTGTTATTTCTGTGTGGTATTAGTAGTAATGTGGTGCGTGCTACTGTCATGAATTTGTAAGCACTATATTATATTATTCTGCAACAGTCCTGAATAGAAGAGGTTTCAGTTACAAAGAGGGCAAATGAAGACTATTCATTAGGGGGCAATACATTGAAAGCACAAAGTATGGAGACAAAAAATGAAGAAGAATACAGATAACTTTTGCAGATTGAATTTTTAGTGTCAGTTTTTTATATTGAGACTAATATTCAGTGTTTGTTTATGTAGGTATGATTGATTTCAGTTTAGATCACAAAACAGAAATTAGTCAAGGATGCATTGAAAAACAGAGAGACCGAAATACCTGAAACCAGAATGAACAATTTAAGTTTTTGGCTGATGAGTCTTATTTTGAAATAATATGAAGTTTAATGATGTACACCCATCGCTCATTTTCACTTGTGCATAACAATATGATAGTGTACTACATTTTGTTGACGTTCATTTGGGCAGGGGAGATGTTTCACTATAGGCTAGATCAGGAAAGATCTGTACCGTTAAATCCTTTGAATATGAATTAGGATACATTCAAAATGCATTGGTCTAAATAGGTTATCCTAATTGATTTGAGAGAAGAGTGCTTTGTACAACAAGGCGAAACCTATATTTAAAAAGATAGATTTGTTCCTAAAGCCGCAGTTGAATGGATAAGTATCCAACGAATTCCTAAACATAAGATTGTCTAAAGCAATAAAAAGAAACTTATTCTACTGTTATCCTTTGTTTATCGTTTTATGATCGACCAATTTTGATTTCTAAAGCGGAAGATAAGCCATCTAGCCGTGTCAATTCTGTGGGCATCTAAAAGTTTAGCTGCTGCTGTGGAGAAAGCTATACAGGGCGAACCTAGACAGATTGAAAAACTCATCGTTGAATGTCTTTTTTCATGGTTTTGAAGAGGTCAAACAAAGTCCATATGAAGATCTATTTAGTCTCATTTGATTGATAGCGGCGCCTTTAATGCTAAAAATGGTATTCCAATCAAACTCTCGAGTGCGTTCTAAACTCATCCTTAACAAATAACTGAATCTATGGTAATTCTAGAGAACACTCCTAGTTTCTGTATAGATAAAGGTGATTATAATAATGCAGCTGGGATTAAGGAAAAAATAATGACAACAACAAGAGATCAGAAACATTCTGCCAAATTTGGAAGAATAAGTTCGGTATCATGGTCTCGAGGCAATCATTATATCATTATTTTGAGCATTATATACTCAATATCATTTGCGTCTGAGTAGGAGAATTTTTTCGTGAGCGTGGGTATAGGGGATGAAAACGTTGGCCGAACTGCGTCCAGCCTGATATAGGGCCAGGCTGGAAAAAAGCTAGCGGCGGTCAAACGAAAACATGGCACCAGTCAATGAAATCCACAACAGTTAGTCTAAGCCACGTAGGAAGATGTAGACTTCCTGGTTGGGGTCCTCGAGACGGTAAAAAGCAATGGTTGGAAACAATTGGTGACATGGCTCAAAATCGTTCTCATTGATGACTGGCGCAGATGCATCCACTCCTTGTGACTTATGATTTCCAATTAAACTGTTTTGTTCTCCGTTATTACTATTCTTTTGTCTCACACCTCTGTTTACTGTCTCTAATATGCATTTCTCCTACTTTCTTCTCTTTCTTTGTGTGCTACATGGAGTGTGGCGACTTGAACTGCCGCACATATGTGCAAAGTTCTGTGTCGAAAACCGACCGACCGAACTGCGTCCAGAAAGTGAGGGAAATGACAGATGCAACGTGTGCAAAATTGGTTTATTTGCGTAGGGTAGGTAGATAAGACGGAAAAATGAGGTAAAAATGAATAGGAAAGTAAGGATAAGTGTACATTTCAATTTTCACTTTATCGAAATGTGCCTATGTAGCAGCCTATTGAGATTATACAATTCTTACTACTTCACCCAAGTGCATTCTCCGAATGGGTTTGATGCAAACCTAAGGGATCAAGACACTTTAATAGTCCTATATCACGTACATTCTGCAGTTAGAATACTTAGGAATGATAGCAGTCAAATTTAATAGTATGCAGGATTTTCCAGTAATTACTAACTTTGAGCGAACTGCAGAATATTTGTCGCAGACTTCGAAAGCATTGCAGAATGTTAGGGGCAATGACATGTGATTTTACTGGCTAGAAATCAACCATTGGGAGTTAACCATGATTATGTCTTCAACTAAAGAAATTATATATAATTTCTTTAGTTAAGAAGTTATAGTTTTTTAATTTCAGAATTAAATGTCAGTATTAATTAGATGGTAATTTGCTTTATTCCAAAACAGCTATAATGCTACAGTAAAGAATTTTCAGCAAATAGTACAATAGTACATCTAATGGTATCAAATGATATTATAATATAATCATCTTATAAGAACATCGTTTGCAGCACCCTATGAGGCACATTTTCTCCTCAAACAGAGCTTAATCGAGTAAAAAAGTAATTTACTGACCTGATTATCTCCAAAGTGGAGAAATTCTTTTAGTGAAACCTCTGCGGATGGCTTTACTCTCAAATACACGGCTATCGGCATTTAAAAATGCACAATGGCCTTGATCCAATGACAACGTAGCATTCACAAATAGAAACAACAAAATACTTTAGCAATAAAACTAACTGTTCCTTTTTCGATTTATAGGAAAAACCTAATGGAATATCTTCAGTATGTTAATATTCACCATCACATGTGATAGTATCCAATTAATTTATAGTATCCATCATATGTAAGACACAGTTGAATAAACCATATTCATTTATAGTTAATGAATATGTAAGACTCATAACCTATGCTACTACTTTTCTGTTTAGTGTCTCTGAATGTCTCTTATACTCTCAAGGAAGGCAGAATAAGATGAGCAGACACTGCTCCCTATAAGACTACAATCCAAAAGTTTATGACTCTATTGGAGAAGCGAATTCCCGAATAGATACAGTCCGTCCCTAGTTTTGAACTGCCCTATTCGGTCCTTCAGGATTTTTAAACTAGGTGTTATCAAAGGGAAAAGACTGATTAGGTTCGTGTTCATTCCTTAAAACTCTGGATATCTTGATTATTTCTCCTTTCTGCAAATGGTATGACAATGGAAAGATGTTCAGTCTGTTGCTGTATGCATATACGTATGAGTTGGATTCTAGGCGAGGACAGACTTTTAGGATAGAGGTTCTCCACCAAAAGTGTAGTTGAAGTGTAGTTGAAGCGGTGAACGTACGATTGACAATAATTAGAAAGTACGCGTATATTGCACATAGAGATATAAAGCAGGTAATTGCAATCTATCATCAGTGTGACCCCGTTTTCAAATTGTGACTTGCTAGAATGTCCGGATCAGCTTGCGTCTCAAATTAAAGAAGAATTGATCCCTTTGTATCGTATGTGCTGATATTTGAGTGCCTAGTACATGTGTTTGCACACACAACATCGTTACACAGCATCAATTGTTAGACCTACTTTACAAGGTCTGTTTGCGGTCTTGTCTCAACCAACTCCAATTTTTGAGGTTGTCTGAGTGGAGAACTATAGATGGTATGGCAAACAATGGTAATTCGCCAATATATAGAGCAAATAAAAAGTTATTTTAAAAACTTTGCTCCCTTGATGAACTTAGGTGAAGAAATGAACACCAAATTCCAAGTCTCAAAGAATGCTATTTCGTGATTTCCAAATACTTCAAAATATTATATATATAAAGGACAGCATATTTACTAAGATTTGCTGAGGCATTTACGTCTAGCCGTTTCAGTACAAATTTGTGCATGTAGAGCGTTTAATCAACATCTTAATCCCTAGGTAACTGCATTCTGGACACATTGATTAGTCATCCATATAAGTGATATAAACTTATCTAGCACGCTACAATCTTATGAACCATAGCCTTCTTGATCTTGTATGTGAACTTATAAGCTAATGCTGTTTACTGATATTTGTAACTTTATAGCATTTTATCTACGGCCATTAGAAAATAGTAGTATATTGTTTTAATCCTGTGTAACCATTATAATTTCAGGTAGTCTGCAGTTTATATAAACCTGTGAAATAGAATGATCTCATTTGGCACTTCAAATTTGATATATCTTTCCTTATCAAAATGGTGTGCTTTAGAAATTTATGGTATACTGCTTCGGGCTGTTCACTAGGACGAGTCTCTTTCTTATCCTTACACTCTGCCTCCCACTGATAGGGAACTCTTCGGTCCAAATTAATGAGATGTCTGTGATTTCAGTAATTTCTAGTTTGTGAAGAATTCACTGTGATGCAGTTCAGTATATATCTCTCTGAAATTTATGATGTTATATTTTGACATAGTCTTCTCCTTTATTGGCCTTTGTTAGAGGGTAGACTTTTCTCAAAAAGCCACGATGTGCGTTGGACAGCAGTTTGCTGTTATCCAGGTAAGCTCATACAGGGCCATTTTCGTCTGTTCTGCAGCCGACACTGTAGCATATTTCCATGTCTCGTCCCTTGTATTTCAGTACGAAGTGTGTAATACTCATAAATTACTGTCATTCGCGATTGCTTCTACCCTTTGTCTTTCTTAAAACAAGTGGCAAATGTCATCTTTATGGATCACTACTTCTGCCAAATCATAGCCGAAATTCTGTAGGTTAGCTTCATCATCAGTGTTCTTAGATGTTAACAAGTAGAATATGCCATAAAATATAAATAAATAAATAAATAATAGTATATTCTCATTTTGTACATGAGGCACGCCAGTTTACAGGCATCATCAATATGATAAATTACATATACGATTAGTAAACATATTTAATAATAGTAATTTAATAAAATACATTTTTTCCTACCTGTGTAGGACACACCAATTGTACAGGCATGGATAAGTATTATTGAAATTACATAAATTTGGTTCATGGTAAAATTATAAGGTTGCAGTCATTTTGTCTATGGGAACAATATGATAACTAGTCATTCAATGGAGCACATCAAGAAATATAGAAATATTGTCTTCGCATTAACAAAAAAAACCCAAGTATGTTTTGGATGGATTACAAATACTTGGGAAAAAAATAAAGCTTGAAGTAATTCCCCCATATAACTTTGGTGTGTACGGCATCGAGTCTTATTCTTGATAATAATTTAAAATAAGTAATCCACTTGTATACTTGAGTCAGCATTTTCTTCGTAACATCACAAGTGAATAGTACTCAAGGTAGACTAATAATAATGGTAGTTTATATTTTCTTATAAACGGGTGTTTTCAAGAAATGCAAGCTATTTTGCAGACAAGATCAGTTATGTTATAAGTTACATTCGTGAAGTATTATAAATCAATACTTTTTTATTGGTATAAAGATATATTTCACAACTGTAATCCAGGTTACGTCGTTGGTGAAGGTAATGCGTAATTCACGAGGGAATTGTAAGATATGGGACCAATAATGTTTGCAGATCAATTTGTCATTGTAAATGGGCAGATATCTACATTCTTCGTTCTCATTCAAAAAGTTAAATGGAAGCTGAAATGGTGAGAGACAAAAGAAGACAAACAACAACAACAACGCAAAAGAAAGCAAGTGGAGTCCTTAAGGAGTGATTAATATGTATACATACATTTATATTCTGTTTAGTAATTATAGTTATTTTGGTGCACTAACTAACTATTCCCGTAATGATAACTTTTATATTGTGTGAGCTAATATTGTTGTCCTGTGTAAAAATGTCTATCATGTACTTCCAATAATATAAAAATTTATAATTGTAGTTTGTTGTAACTACACGTTTAATGAACTTAAAATATCTATGTCGGACGAAAAAGTGGATGTAGGATTCAGACTCAGAAGTGCACTGTCATCTTTGAGCAGTCTGGTGACTGAGGAGATGAACACTGCGAGTGTGTTTGCATCGCGCACATCAGCTGGTAGTCTATTCCAAATGACTGAAAACTTATTTAAGAAGAAATTATACCGCATGTGAGTCTGACAATGCTCTATAGCAGCTAGGTTGTGATGATTTCTAAGATTGTAACTGATGACAGCGGTAGGTTTAATTATTGGCTCGGAGGAGTGCACGAGCAGATTAGTTAGCTTGTAGTAAAAAATCAGGTTTAGCTTAAGACGTCTTTTCCAGAGTGGTTCTAAACTTAGTCTGTCGCAACGTTCATAGTATTGGAGACCACTTTCTAAACCAAGAATTCTTAAGGTGAATTGCCGTTGCACTCCTTCTAACTTAAGCTTGTCATTTTGCCTGAGTCCGCTAAGAATAAACGGGCAGTATTCTAAAATAGGTCGGACACATACTTTATATAATAAAACCCTAGTTTCACAACAAAAGAAATTACGAGTTATGCATCCTAGGAGCCTTCGTGTTTTACGTCTGGCATAATCAGTTTGTTCAGAGAACGTTAAGTTACTAGAGTATCTGATACCGAGATCTACGACTGAGTTGAGCTTGGCTAGTTTACGCCCATTTATTTCAAGATTCAGGTCAAGGTTACTGTTTCCGATACAAATCCAGCCGCATTTATCAATGTTGAACTTAAGACAGGATTCAGTACACCATGTTGCGAGACTACTTAGTTCAAGATGTATTTTATTCACCATATCGCTTAGTTCATGAGCGTGGCAGGAGTAAACGACTTTGAGGTCGTCAGCATATAGGAATGATTTACCTGAGGTGAAGCAGTTGCAAATGCTGTTAATGTATACTGTAAATAAAAGTGGACCTAGGACACTACCTTGCACAACCCCACTTGTGATCTGTCTGGGATGAGACAACACAGATCCAACCTTGGTTATTTGTACCCTATTGCTTAGAAAGGATTTTAACCAGCTCAGTAATGGATTGCGAATCCCACATGAATACAGCTTCTCAAAGAGAATGCTGTGAGATACCATGTCAAATGCCCTAGATATGTCGAAGTAGAGAACAACAACTAGCTTACGTGCTTCGCGACTACTAGTGACGCAGTTGAAAAAGTCGAAGTGGCAAGTAACGCAAGACCTATTTTTGAGAAATCCGTGTTGAGACCTTGTAACAAGATCTTCCTTAAGTAGATAGTCTGACAACTGATCTTTGACAACTTTCTCCATGACTCGCGAGACAACTGGGGTTATATTTATAGGTCTGTAATTGCGGACGTTTGCCTTATCACCGGATTTATGGTGTGGAATTATGAAGCTAGTTTTCCACTCATTAGGGTAAGTGCCAGTGTCCATAGATATCGAGAAGAATTTAAGAAGTAGTAGGGGTATATCACACCCACTGTTTTTGAAAATTATGGAAGCAAGGCCATCTGGTCCCGTGCTAGTGGAAGGTTTCAGGCTTTTAACTGCCTGTTCTATTAATTGGTCGGTGAACACTATGCTTCCGAGGAAAGAACTAGTAAGGGGGCCGGTGTCACCAGGAATGCGCGTTTCTAAACTGAAGTTAGCAAACCACTCACTGAATATTTCACAGATGGTGGAAGGCTCATTGTAGATAACTTTGTCATGAAGTAAATAGGGGATGTCCCTCGTCGACTGCATTCGCTTTTTAAGAAGCGTTGTTAAGTTATAAACTTTGGAGGTGCTTTCAAGTGCCCTTAATTCTTCGTCGAGGTCCTTTTGAGAGCGTTGGCGCTTGACAGATTCAAGAGACTCATGGATTGAGTGCAGTAGTGATATATCCTTAGTTGAATAGTACTGTTTCTTCAACTTCCTTAACTTATTGCGGCATGCCCTCGGAATGTAATCAGCTTGGTGTCTACTTAATTTCACTACCTTCTTAGGAGCAACAGTATCTAGACAAAGGATAACATTCCTGTAAAATAAGGACATTACAGTCTCCAGGGAGTCAGTGGTAAAATATTCATCCCAGTGACAGAGTCGAATGAGTTCTTGGACTAATCCCCAATCTGTATGTTTGTAACTACGACAAATCAAGCTCCCTGAATCCTGTTTGTTTCCTGTATTTAGTGGTGAGAAAGGCAGAGAGCAGAGCACCATTCTATGGTCACTACTGGAAAATCTGTTACCAACATAGGTGGAGACTGGGATTGTGTCATGACAAAACACAAGGTCCAACAGGTTGTTCTGATTTTGTAAATGAGGGACGCCAGTCTACAAGCATCATCAATATGATAAATTACATATACGATTAGTAAACATGTTTGATAACAGTAATTTATTGAAATACATTTTTTTCTACCTGTGTAGGACACATTAATTGTACAGGCATCGATAAGTATTATTGAAATTACATAAATTTGGTTCATGGTTAAATTATAAGGTCGCAGTCGTTTTTGTCTTTGGTTTGTGGGAACAATATGATAACTAGTCATTCAATGGAGCACATCAAGAAATATAGAAATATTGTCTTCGCATTAATAAAAAAAAAATAAAGCTTGAAGTAATTCCCCCATATAACTTTGGTGTGTACGGCATCGGGTCTTATTCTTGATCTATATCCAAATTTGATAATAATTTAAAATAAGTGATACACTTGTATACTTGAGTCAGCATTTTCATCGTAACATCACAAGTGAATTGTACTGAATGTAGACTAATAATAATGAAAGTTTTTATTTTCTTATAAACGGGTGTTTTCAAAATATGCAAGCTATTTTTGCAGACACGATCAGTTATGTTGTAAGTTACAATCGTGAAGTATTATAAATCAATACCTTTTTATTGGTATAAAGGTATATTTCACAACTGTAATCCAGGTTACGTCGTTGGTGAAGGTAATGCGTAATTCACGAGGGAATTGTAAGATATGGGACCAATAATGTTTGCAGATCATCTGTCATTGTAAATGGTCATATATCAACATTCTTCATTCATTCTCATTCAAAAAGTCAAATTGAAGCTAAAATGGTGAGAAAAAAGAAGACAAACAACAACAACAACGCAAAAGAAAGCAAGTGGAGTCCTTAAGGAGTGATTAATATGTATATATACATTTATATCCTGTTTAGTAACTATAGATATTTTGGTGCACTAACCAACTAGTCCCGTTATGCTAACTTTTATATTGCGTGAACTAATATTATTGTCCTGCGTAAAAATGTCTATCATGTACTTCCAATAATATAAAAATTTATAATTGTAGTTTGTTGTAACTACACGTTTAATGAACTTAAAATATCTATGTAGGGTGAAAAAGAGGGTGTAAGAGTCAAACGCAGAAGTGCATTGTCATCTTTGAGCAGTCTGGTGATTGAAGAGATGAACACTGCGAGTGTGTTTGCATCGCGCACATCAGCTGGTAGTCTACTCCAAATGACTGAAAACTTATTTAAGAAGCAGTTGTAGCGCATGTAAGTTTGACAATGCTCCATAGCAGCTAGGTTGTGATAATTTCTAAGATTGTAACTGATGACAGTGGTAGGTTTAATTATTGGCTCGGAGGAGTGCACGAGCAGATTAGTTAGCTTGTAGTAAAAAATTAGGTATAGCTTAAGACGTCTTTTCCAGAGTGGTTCTAATCTTAGTCTGTCGCAACGCTCAGAGTATTCGAGACCACATTGCCTCTCGACGTCACTGAGATTACTTCACCCTCTTGCCCTGGTAACAGATACTACTGTGTCACGGTGCTTTGAACTCCTGCAACCCGAAAATTCATAACTACTGTCATCATCTACCCAATATAGCAGCGTTCGCTCAATTACGCCTCTGAAGACAGTCTATATCTGTTATGAATATCAGCGTTTCCTAGAATACCTCTCACCCTACCACAGAGTCTATTGTGACCCTGAGGAGGCTACCTATTGCATGTGAACTATAAACAATGACGCCACCTAGTGCCGAGAGGAGAGGGTTCTTATAACTGGAAAAACAGGACAAACTTCTTGTTCAAATCTGGTCTTCAGATCAACCTCAGGCGACTCTCCTGCTCACTGAAGGCGATTGGTTCGTTGCAAAGAACAAATTTCCTGCTGCTAGTACAGCTACTTTTGAGTAGGGCAATTTATCTTCCGTCGAAGGCAATACGCGTACGTTAGGCGACAACTCTAAAGCATATAGGTGGTGGAATCTCAACTATTTGAGGTTCCAGAAACAACATGTTAATGCTCCTTTGTATATCACGACCAGCACCAGATACGTAGGATCTACTGACCATGGAATAGAATAAATCCCCTTGGAAAACTTAAGCACGATCAACTTTGTACTGCGAATAAATTACCAATACAAAGGGCTTTAGTCTAGCACCTCTTACTTTAGTAGAGCAGGCCTAGAGATCACAGGAGATACGCTATCAAAATTCTGACGTGAAGTTGAGCACAAATTATAAAATAATATAGGGAAGGAGTAGTCCGAATATGCCTGATTTCTACTGGTTATCAGGAAGTATGGAAGTCAGATTCATATGGTAAAAGTGAAAGCGAAGTTGCGACTGTTGAGTTTCTGCTTAATAAACACTTGTTATAAGTGTAAAACTTGGGCACTGTTGTAGAGTATAACTACATTAGTGATGAGATTTTTTTTTGATAGATCACTCAGTGTTGTACTCTAATATTAACCGTACAACACTGTGTGATCCATGAAAATAAAATCTTATCCATAATGGAATAATATGTTGTATTTTTCGTTCCACTTAATGTTAAAAACAGAGCTAACTGGTTAAAAAGGGGAAAAAGCAGTCTTGCATTCTTAGCCCTATAGCCTTTATAGACAAACTCTGGAAACTTGTCTCTGGTCAGTTTCAGGATGCAGTGATTTCAGCCTAGCTAACTTGAGACTGCGGTCGAACAACATTGCGTAATTCGACAGCGTTTCAAAATATCGTAGGTGCTTGACAGCATACTTTGAACTTAGCCAGTTTACATCAACAGCGAATATCAGCACGTGATTTCGAATGGTGTAAGCTTTAGACTCATAATTATTTTAGCACTGCATCTACTTCAGCATCCTCGCTCCTATTTTAAAGGAGTTCGTCGGTGGAATTCCACTTTTGTATAAATGTGGCATTCTTCATGGTGGTTCTGAATATAATATAGTCTTTTCAAAGAGCCTTTCTTGGATTCTTGACGCTCTTATTTTTGTCCAGAGATTTTTAATGAGAAATGAGTTGCCATGGTCCCAGAACAGACCTCGAAGTTCTCTCTAAACTGAATGGAGTTTTCGTATACGACTAAAGTTATGGAATGCGGGCGAATAGAGTAAAAAAGGGGTTTCCAGCGATTAGAGATAGACCATCACCATCTTTAAACAAGAAGAGAATAGCCAGTTTTGTTTATAATATTCCATGAGCAGTTGCTTAATATCTGATTGGGTATTTGCTTTCAAGGTCGTAATTGCTTTCCAATGGTGATACTCCGCGGACATGTGAAACATGTCAAATGGAACGCATTGTGGAATACTCTGAGAATTTATCTACAAATACAGACTCAGATGTAAGGTTTGATGAAGAAGCTTCACAATGCAGTGAATTGGAGAACTTTAGTACTTTAAGTAAAACCATTTCATAAAATATTATGTTTTAGTTTTACCTATGTCAAATACCTTCCAGTGTGATCCTGAAGTGGAAGCACTCCATGAAAAAGTTCACTGGATAGTATTGTCCTCACTGTTCTGCATTCTAGGTTATAAGACTGAGAAAAGAGTTATCGGGTGTTGTCTGTCAATCCGAATATTCTGAAGCAGTGCGTGCAAATGCTGAATTGCATGCATCGGTGATGAAAGTTCAGTTATTGAGGCAATTTAAATGGCACATATCATTTTTACTTACAATCTGTAAGTCAATTTTTGGTCTTGATAATCTACGTTGCGTTCACGAGATACATTTTATTCGAAACATCATTTTATCCCAGTTATTGCTTTTTGACTTTAATCTACATCTTTTTAGATGCAGAGAAGTTTCGGAGCTTGTCTCTAAGTTTTCAAAACACAGGTGATCGTTTAGCCGATTGATAAAAATTGCCACTATGTGCTGAATTAAGTCTTTTCGGTGTGAAATAATGCTAGTCACTGCTGAATATGGGCTGTGAGGGCTGGAACAACGCCGATAAGCAAACCCATCGGGTTCCGATCTACTCCTCAGAGTACCTAGAAAAAGAAGAGGGTGTTGAATTAGTGCCAGTCATGCTGAAAACCAGCACTGAGTTCTAGTCTGTCCGGATAATCAAACCATTTCAGAAGAGATTCAGAATTTTCTCACTATAGAATGTTAGAGTTAGTTCAGAAATAGCGAGATTTAATTCAGTATTATAGTAAGCATGGGTAAATCTATCTCTGATTAAATATTTCAGAATAGTTTGAGAAAGGCCACGCTTTTTCTCTCATGGCCCCCTTTAGTACGAAATGATGTTTTGTGAGTAATAATCCTCAGCAATAATACTAGCTGAATCGTTTTTGATATGCAAAAGGCTATCAATAAGGCAGTCTGTATATCTGGTAGAGAAGTCTATGCAACTTACTTGTAGCTTAGTGAGCTTTTTATAAATGAAAAAAATATCCACTACCAACGACTTAAAGAACAAAAGGTCACTTTTATACACACTTCTTTCGAGTAACGTTTTTATCCAAAGTCTTAGTTTCTTGAGCTTGTTTATTACTGAAGGCAAAACTACTCTGAAACAGCTTACAGGATTTAGAGTTTATATAAGAATAGTTTAATTAACCCAAAGAGTTCGAAATTTACTTTGTAGCTAAACATCACTTTAAATTCAAAGGCCTTGAATAGGTTGGTGTTTTTGTTGAGCTACTACATCTTCTAAAATTTCCAAAGTTTTTCATCAAACCATTTGGTTATGTATTTGGGTTGCAAGTTTATTTATTGATCATAATATCTCTGTACTTAAGTTCAGCCCATGTTACATGCACTTGCCAACAGCGTAAGTTTGGATCGATGAAAGTCATGTCTGCTTGAATATCTTGAAAAAGGAAAAATATCAAGCATTATCCAGTGTAAGAATGTTTATTTTTGGCTGATTCCATTTTCAGACTGTAAAATCTGTAAGTAAAATCGGAATTTAATGGGACTATAAATCTCTCTCTCAATGACGAATATGTTGATTATTAATCACGACTATTATTTGTCTCTTTTTTAACAGATGCGCATTGACTGAGAGAATTTCGATACCCTTCATTGATTTCGTTTATTTTTGGCGTGTTAATGCTTCTGGAAAATCTGTAAATCTGTGGTAGGAATGACATAGACTATCCAAGTGAATCAACTTAAGTAAAGAAGACGGAAATAGAAAAGGTTGCAGTGATCGAAAGAGACGAAGAGGGTAGACGCTAAACTGTAGGGATAAATACTTTGAGCAGTAGTCACACTAGCATATGACACGTAGATGTTGGTCTTTCTGTTCTAGCCAAGGCTGCGAAACTTGTTTCTCATTTTTAACAAAACAAAGTACAAATTTTAATCCGAAGATGTCTACTGGTAATGTGAAGGAATTACTGAATAGACTAAGTAAGGTGTTTGTTGTCAGAATTAGTTCTACTAAGCTGAAGTAAATCGTCGGCTATCCCGTCTTGTTAGGATAGGGGACAAATCTTCCGCCACCATGGGGAAATTAGCTTTATTAATACGGTCTTTAAGTCCAAAACTCTGTAACAATGTATAGGCTGATTACGCAACTGGAAAGCAAACTTGGGAAGGCCGGACAGTTCTACACATGGAGAGGGTGCTGAGGGATTCTTAATTAAAAGCATATCTGTGGGCATTAGATACTTTTCATATTCTCGGTTGATGAGTTTGTAGGAATCTTAATACTTTTCCACGTGAAGTTGACCTTCGGCTCCGGCGTTTGTACGGCTTTATGGTAACGTTTTGCTGCGAACGCAAAGCCAAAATACATTGTGCTAAAAAAGACACTCTACCTGAAGGTAGCCAGTAGTGTAACAGCTGTTGTGACGGTTGATGAAACTGATAGTTTCTGTCTGGGATTTCAGGAGCCATTAATAACTGGTGAACGGGAATATGCTCACTAATTCTTTGGATACGATAAATAAACATTTTGTCATCTCAAAATTCATTAAAATACAAGTACCTTGGGCAGAATACAGTTTTACAATTTGAAGATTACTTTCGTAACAATCATTATTCATTCTTTTCATTTTGAGTAGAACATAGGGCTCCACTCTACCGGGTTCCCTGCAATCACTTTCAGCTAATATCAGTTACTATCAGTTGTTTCTTGGTAAGCTACTCAGACAGACCTACGTCTTGACTGGCCCAGGGTAGTGATAACACCATTTGCCTAAGAAAGAAGGATATTACACTTACATTTGTTAAAAGATGCATTTAAATATAGGGATTTAAGATACCTGACAACAATTCACCACCCCACTAAGGTGCACTTACCATCTTCTCACTGATTCAAACACCAAATGATCGCTACATTTTGCTTCGTCTAAAACCTGACGGACCTTCTACATTAGGCTCCACGCTCACCAGTCTAATAAGCTATTATTCTATCCTGTGACCTTCGCATATCAAATCTTAGCTTGTCGGGATTTAACTACTTGTAAGACACTTACCAGTCACATGTTACGGAGTTTGATTCCTGCCTGACGTAATCCCAAACCACGCTTAGTCAGTAGTAAGCCTAGTGAAGAGGGGAGGTTGGATGCGAGGCTAGCAATTCCACCGAGGGAAAAAAATAAACATCAGTAACACTGAAACTCCAAAGGCCAAACCTGAAGCTTTATATTCCACTGGGAATGCAAATGAACAAAATAAAACAACAATAATAAGATGATGAACTTAAACCGCAGTTTGAGAGACAACTGTTGAAAGCCACCTTTAAACACTCTACATCTGTTTAGTTCTGCTTCTTCGTGACTCTCCTCGACAGTACACACCAGTGACCATACTGGGAGTCAAATCAAGACATGAGGCGGGCCTTTTGTCCATTGTACTTTCTAGATTTTAGTGACTCTTTAACTGATGCAGATTCGTGCTCTAACTAGAAACCTTTGTTTCTGTTGGAGTTTTAAAACGGTTAATCCCTTTCATAAGTTCAAATAGCGCATTAAGAAGACAAATGTTATCGTGGGATGATATCATTTCCTAGTTTCTCAACAATCGCTCTAGAATTATCATGGCTGACTATAATACAATAAAACATTTGACAATTAGCCATATGAAGTAAAAGAACATATTAATAACCAATCGTATCCCAGTACTTCAAATAGTCTATGGTATTTATTATTGCTTTTATTTCTATGAATTCTGAGAACACAAGGCTTCAGAAGTACATTTCCATTTCACTAAATTATCGGCAGTGTTTTTGTAGCTGGCTCCGCGGTTGCCCCACACACGATCTCCTCTATGTCATCCTCTAACTCACACCCATCTCGTCACCGACTACGCATCTGGGCCCTACTCAAGGATCTATCTGCATTATTATATCATCTAAAGATATCCTCAGCATACGTCCAATCAATCCATTTCTTTCTGAATATTTGTTGGGCGATAGGTTCTTGGTTCGTTCGTTGGCAAACCTTCTTGTTGATAATCCCTTCTTATCATCAGATCTTCAATATGAAGAGTAGGGAGTTGGTAATTATAAAAGTCTCCAGTCTGCTTAGTAATCAGTCGGAGGCAGAGGTTTTATATGGGTCTGGATTAATTGTAATGAAGTTAGACAAGCTGATCTATGAACTCTTCTAGTTATTTATTTCCCCTAAGTTATTCAATTTATTCAAATCTTATTCTTAAACGAAATTTCGTCATATTTTTTTTTGTATCAAGCCGCTGCTTTGCATGACCAGGAGAACACTAGTCTACTAGAAGATTCAAGGGTAAACAGTTCAGGCGAAGGTGTAAATCTACTCAGTGAGAGTTCATTTCAAGCTGGGAGAATACAAAATGATATTCAGAAACTTTCTCATGAGATAGTAAGTATAAATATTTAAAAAATGTTAACTAAATCTTGCATATTTTAACTTTTGAAATAATGATAATAAGTACTAGTAGTGGTAGAAATAGATTATGAGGCATGTTTCAGTAATATTAGATGTTTGCGCGGACGATTGATTGGAAGCCCTTAAGTAGCTATTTGTGCTTACTGAAACTAACCGATTAGATGTGTTTACAGCTTCGAAAGGAAATGATCTCCTACTAGAGATTCGAACATGTGTCTTCCCCAGTGCTACTGCCTTATATGCTATTATTAAACTAGTGGAATGTTATGGGTATATTGTCTAGTCACTACAGATTAACACCCATGTCATGCGCTTAATTATTAGAATGTGGATTCTATATTAGTCAAGTTCACAAATCGGTCACCAAACTAGATGACACATCATTACGGTGCATTTTGAACTAGTGTAAGATGGTTGCAGGCGACTGTTGAGAAGTTGTCGACAAAATCACTCACTAGCAATGACATCCCTTCAGAGATGTGAACATGTATCAGCCAAAGATGCAGCCAGAAACGTTACCACTGGCCTACTGTCGCAATGTATCGGATACATTTTTATACTTGTTCTTTTCATCTCTTAGTTTTGTTTGAATAAATTCGGTTTCCACAGGTGGAATTTTACTTTCTGGAACCGTGTAAATTGCAAATTAATTTGCCAATTGTGAATATGATTTGGGGATTTCGTTTACCTTCAGTGTAGATTTCGTCATGAACCAACAGTGGGTTGACTGTGTTAAGTTCAAGTGAATGCTCATCTAAGGCATATACTGGCGGTAGCGCTGGACCACACAAATTGAGAAGGAATTCTGAATCCCAGCTGGCCTGGGTGAATAGTCAGCAAGTTTGACCTTGAAACTTAAAGATCCCATGTGTTCCGACCCCTGTTGGGGTCGTGTGCGTATACTACTGAAGACTCGCCAACTAGGACGAAACGGATCTCCAGTAGGGCTACTTGGTATTCAGCAATTCTCTGACTGACGTGTTAGTTCCTAATGAAATCTACTTTGAAGCATATATATAATCATTTAGTTATTCCTTCTCTAAAATGTTTTTGCTCTCTACACCACAGATAGCTGCATTAAGAGACAAGAATATTCAGCTGAAAAATCTCTCCATCGAGAAAACTATACTCCAAAATTTGTACGATGAACTGCTTCAAAGGCATGAATGTTTAAAGAAACAGCATGAAGGAACTCTAAGTTGGTTCATTATTATTCATTTAAGCATGTTCTTTTATTCTCACATCAGAGAATTCAAAAATAATAATAATATGAAGTATATTTTCAAATGTTTTATCATATTCCACTTTTTTAAGGATTTTTGAAAACCATGCCTTCTATTGTAACGTCTGTGGTTTGATGGTACAATGCCCACTAACCAACTGCGAGGGCCCAGATTCGAATTCATGGCCGAACCTCAGCTGATTTAGCAACAGCCAGTAGTAAGTCTGGAGAAGAGGCGAGGACAGTTGGGTGTGAGACTGACAATTCCAACCTACTACTACCATTGGGATTTCGAAAGATCAAAGCCTTATATTCTGCTTGAAATGCGAGGTATGAAACCAAATGTCTTCTGTTGGGGGGTGGGTGGGGGTGAGGAGACAATAAATTGAGCGAAGAAATATATTTGCTGTTCAGTGAAAACTAATTATTTACTCCGCTCTTTATTCCATTTATAAGTTATGATTATTAATACCACTGTTACTTCTTATTATTCTTCCCACTTCACCATTTAATTTCTTTGTTTCCTTGTGTTTCAAGTGAAATATAGAGCTTCAAGCGTCTCCTGAAGTTTCAGCAGTGTTAGTGTTTTTATGTGGTGGTTTTGACAGCTTAACGTCCAACCTTCTCTTTCTTCGAAGCTTACTACCGGTTAATAAACTGGGAGAGGTTTATAAATGCATTGGTGGTCGGGAAGAGAAACCGGATCTCCTACATGCCTGGCAAGCATTCATTCACCTTTACCTTTTTTGTGTGACCGTTTATTCTTTTCATTTCATGCATTATTCAAAAACCTGTTTTAATTTCCAGAAACACTTCTACCCTTTATTGGTTAGCATTAAATTTCTTAATAATTCATCATCCTTCTTTGACGTGTAGGTACTCACTAATTATTGTTAACAGATGCATCACTATCACCATATTTTGTGTCACAAACTAACGTCAGTGAGAGATTCACTGAAAACCTGGGAACACACTGGACAGCTACCTCATTCTAATTTAAGACTATTCAGCAGTAAGCACATATGATTCCAGAAGAGATTGATTTTACAAAGGATGCCAGTTAAGCATTCAGCCCCTGGGTCAGAATCCAGTGGCTCATGAATTCCAGCTGCTGTCAGCTCGTAACTTATAGTGCCACCGGCAGCCAGTATCATCGGAGACTATTAGTCCTCAGCCCAGACTGGATGGAACCTATTCGTCGTAACTTCTCAACAGAAGACCAGGAAACATCGTCCTCTAGTCACCCACTAGTGGGCATCAGATTAATTTACAAGCGTTGGTTTTCAGGCACATTTAGGTGGTTTCAAGTGTTTTAGTGTTAGATGACATCCTACCCTACAGTACTTAGACTAAATTCATGCCCGACTCATTTTGTTTTCACTTACACTGCAGGTGTTATTGAAACACAGAAGGGAAGACTGTCAGCTCTTGATAGTCTAAATAAGGATTTGACTGAAGAAAATAGAAATGTATCTACCAAACTATTGGTGAGTTTATACATCCGAATAGACATACACATTATTTCATATCGCAACAAGTCCTGTATTTATTTTTGATTTATATTATGCTACTTATATTTGTTTAAGTAACTAAAGATATATATTGAAATTTACTAAACAGACCACTTTGTACTATTAATTGGTCTATCTAATGAAACTGATATATTGAGGAAAAGCAGCTGACAAACAATCTTAAGGAGGTGAGGAAAAGTAGAGTAATCTCAGAGGCAGCCTGAAACATCCCTAAAACTATTGGGAGTAGTTTGCTTATATTACATAAACCAGAACTTCTTCTTCACCCAGTTCTAGACAAGTCTAATTCCACCTACCATGGTGTGTCACAGTGGCTAGGTGAACTCCCCCAACCATTACACAAGAAAGTGATAAGTCATAGTGTTAACCACGTATTTGGATTAATTTCTAGGCTACATGATGTAAATGTAAATGGGAATCAAATGCTATCCTTAGATATTGCATCACTGTTCTCCAATGTACCGTTAATCCAGACTGTGGAATTCACCTGCCAACAAATACTAGAAAAGCAGTTCGATACTGGAATTCCAAATATTAGTCTCAAAGAGTTGCTTCTAAGGTGCACTATGAATGTACACTTCACGTTCAGCAACCTTTATTACAGAGAAATTGAATATATTGCCATGGGTTTTCCATTGGACCTGACTTTGGCAGATTTCTTTCTTGCTAAACTAGAAAATGGTCCATTGAAGCAAGTAAAAGATAAAATGGATTCTTAATTTCGTTATGCTGATGATACGTTTATTGTTCTTGAAGAGAAAACTGACAAGAATGAAAGGTTAATAAAATGTAGTGATACACTTCCACCGCTCATCATCACCTGTGAAGAAGAACGCGATTGTAGATTACACTTCCTTGATGTCCAGTTGAGCAGAAGAGAGGATGGTTCGCTCAATAGAGATGTCTACTGAAAACCTATGTGTGTAGGACAGTAGACACATTTCTGCAGTTCTGTGTCAATCCGTTACCAAATCAATTCAGTCAGATGCCTCACGAATAGAGCAACAAGGATCTGTGCAGATTACTCCCAAGAATATGATTTAAGATACACCAAAGTACCTTTATCCAAATGAACACCAGGTATAATACAGTTGACAGTTAAAAAAAGAAACAACTGTTCCTTGAAAATGCCATTCAATGGGGACGTGGCTAGTAAATTCCTAAATCTACCATTATCTAGAGCAATAAAATGGGCCTATATTGCCATCATTTGTCATTTTCCACGCGAAGGACAAGCTACCTAGCTGTGCCACTTCTATGTGCATTTAAACATTTTAGCTGCTCCTACGAAGAAAGCTATGTAGGGCGAACAGCCAGACAGCTCAACAAATGTTTTACTGAGCATCTTCCTTCATAGTTTCAAAAAGGGCAAACAAAGTCTATACAAAGTTCTATTTCGTCTCATTTGATTGATGACAGCTGTCACCAAGTGGACAGAAGAAATACGTTCAAACTTATCTATCACACATTCCACAGAAACTTTCGAACGGAGTTCGAACCCACCTTTTACACATAGCCGAAGCTATAGGAATTGGAGTGACCAATCCTAGGATTTGCATACAGAAGTATTTTGTTCAAGCTTTGTCTCTCCCTTGGCCTAGGTAAATTCTAATTAAAAACTGTCTCACCCTTTCTTATTTGATATTTATTTAAACTCAGTCCACTTCACCTTAAGTATTACATAACTTCTAAGATTTGACCTAATTTATTTATTTAATTGCGTACGTATACACATATTACTACCTTTGTAATTCTTATCGCCACCTGCAGAAACCTCGTTATCATTATTTTTTCTATGACTGTGATCATTGTTATTATTGACGTTCGAAATATTCCGCACATTATTATTATCATTATTATTATTAGTAGTATTCGATCCACAAATAACCCATCGCTGGTTAAATTTTTTACATGTAAAGCTAAATAGATCAGAGTAAAGCCTGAAGAAGATCTAATTGCAAACAGTATTCTTTGCTCATATATCTAGTTCTAATATTGAGGATGCCATGTGCATCTGCGGTTCAATGTCTGAATTCTTACTAGTTGCATAAGGGTGCTGGAGTCCATTCCAAGACGACAAATTCATAAACCTTGCTTGGTTTGTTCCTTTCCGCAGTTCCTTGTTGCTTATCCTTTTCGACTGCCCGTCTGTTCTCCATTATTCAGACAGGGATGCTAACTGTTGATGGAAGCCTACTGTAACTTGTTGGAAATACTTCCCTCAGCAGACGTAGTCTCTAAACTATGTAGAAGCACTCGCTGACTTGACACTAGTGTTAAAAATCCGAATCTTGCTGTTTGTGCTTAGTGTAGTAGATTTCCACACTAATTTCAGATGAATCAAGGTTTTCAAGTTTTGGTTTATAAGGAATTTATTGGTTGGTTACAGGATTTCATCATGAGCTGACACTGGTTAGAGAACCATTGGATAAACTGGGAGTTCTATACAGCTGTTTCGTCCTAGTTTGGGACTCTTCGGAAGTATGCACCCACCGCCAGGGATAGAAACTGGGACGTTCTGGTTACAAGGCGAGCTCGCAGACCATTAAGCCACTTGGAGCCGTTCCAATGGCCCATGATTTGCAACTTCTGCCAATTCACGACATAGCGCAACCGCTAGCCAATGTCTTCGGCGAGTATTTGTCCTCACACCCGACCTACTGCACTCTACTGGTCACGACGTTCCACTAGAACTCCAGGTAACTGCCAATGTCAGCTCCTGATGAAATCCTGTAACCAATCAATCAAATCCCTACAAACCAATACTGGAATATCAATGTGATGCTCACTGGCGACTGGCCCTATTCAAGTAGGTAGTTACGTGGAGTTCTATTGTAAAGTCGTGACCAGTAGAGTGCAGCAGGTCGGGTGTGAGGACAAATACTCGCCGAAGACATTGGCTAGCGGTTGCGCTATGTCGTGAATTGGCAGAAGTTGCAAATCATGGGCCATTGGAACGGCTCCAAGTGGCTTAATGGTCTGCGAGCTCGCCTTGTAACCAGAACGTCCCAGTTTCTATCCCTGGCGGTGGGTGCATACTTCCGAAGAGTCCCAAACTAGGACGAAACAGCTGTATAGAACTCCCAGTTTATCCAATGGTTCTCTAACCAGTGTCAGCTCATGATGAAATCCTGTATCTAATCAAGGTTTTTCTTGATTTTCTTCTTCCGAACGGCTTTGAAATCTTAATACATATCGCCTGTAGCTGAAATAATACTGCCTAGGCAAGCGAAAGAAGTGGCTCTTTTCAAATGTTTCCTGCTGGTGGTGATTGGTGTTAGCTGTTATTGCTGGTTAGGTATCTTCATTACTTATGTCTTGTCTGTATTTACCTGAATTCCTGTCTTTGCTGCCTACCTCTTCTGCCAAGTTGTTCGTTTTTGCTTGTAGGTGTTCTTGTCTGTGTGGCCTTAAACCTAAATCATCTGTGAAGTTCAGGCCTTCTGGAGTCTTCTTATCGGTCCATCATATACATGTTTTCTTTCTCCTCACGGCCTGCAGTATGATCCAAATTCAATATAATCAGGTATATCATCGACGACTGTAGGCAGTCTTGTTATACTTCTGTCTTCATTTCAGAGGCATTGCTGAGTTTTCTTTCGTGGATCACTTTACACACGCAGCATTGTCATACAGCCTTTGGACGATGTTGGTAAGGTTTTGGAAGCAGTACTGTAATTTAGAAAATGGCTTAACACCTATCTGAGACTGGCAGCAAAATGCACCCTGAAGAAATTTGCCAAAGACTTTTGATAACCTGAAACCTAATGTCAGTAAACGCCAAAAGATTTCTGCTGCTTTATACCAACTGATAAACGCAAGGAGCTGAATTGATTGAGATAGATGGGGTAGGCGATACGCATACTGAGGCATCACACCCTTCATCAAGCAATGTTAAATGACAAAGGATTAGTCTGAGGTGGAGTCAGGTAGGATGGTCAAATGAAAACACATCACCGATCAATGAGGTCTGTGGCTGCACATTTGAAGGTAAAGGCTGTCCGGCAGAAATTACCACTCTCGTTTTGGATAAAGGGGCTACTTGAACAAATACATCGATATTCTTACTAGGATTAATAACTCCAGGTCACCTGATTTTTAGTGGTAGTGGAAACACACCTATCACTCACTGGTGAGCACGTGCATCGTCAACTAGCGAGTAATAAATACAAGAAAACTCACTTCACTGAATACACTAACGAAATAAAACAGATAGAAGACGCGTTGATGTTAAATAACTATCCTATAAAATTCATTAGGAAGATCAAAAAAGGTCAAAAGCAAAATAAAAATAATGGTGAAACTAACAGAGATAACATAAATAAGAAAAAATATACGGCATCTACAGCTTTACCATATAAGGAGGGTACATCTAAGACCCTATGTAGGATTCTCAACAAAGCAGGAATCAGGGTGGCGTTCAAATCTACAAACTCGCTCAGAGACAATCTCTGTAAACTAAAGGACCTGGTGAACCCAATTAAACAAAATAATATAATTTACAAAATATCTGACAATGGCTGTGATGCCAACTACATAGGTCAAGCTATTTGATCAGGAGTAGTGAGATTATCCGAACATAAGAATATGACTAAGGTTAGAACGGTTGACCCCGAGAAGATAAGTAATTTAGAAAAAAACCTCAGCAAGTGCACTGCATGCATTAACACACAATCCAGAAATAGGGAGGTGTGAGAGGGTTAAAATTCTAAAAAGTAATCTATGTAGGTGGAGAGAGAGGTTGATTACTGAATTCTTGTTCATCGAGTCTACACCCAACACATGCAATAGGAATGACTCAATGCAAATACCAGAAATATGGAAGATATTATTACCACAAGTTAAATCAGAGGAGGATAATAAATAATCTTAAAATTCTATTTCAATTCAAGCACATCACAACATTCTAACAAGTGACTTATTTTGAGTATAAAAACACTCGTCTTATTTCCCGT